GAGCTATTTTGTTGTTGGGGGTAGGGGCTACTTTGTTGTTGGGGGTAGGAGCTACTTTGTTGTTGGGGGTAGGAGCTATTTTGTTGTTGGGGGTAGGGGCTATTTTGTTGTTGGGGGTAGGGGCTATTTTGTTGTTGGGGGTAGGGGCTATTTTGTTGTTGGGGGTAGGGGCTACTTTGTTGTTGGGGGTAGGGGCTATTTTGTTGTTGGGGGTAGGGGCTACTTTGTTGTTGGGGGTAGGAGCTACTTTGTTGTTTGGGTAAGAGCTATTTTGTTGTTGGGGGTAGGGGCTACTTTGTTGTTGGGGGTAGGGGCTATTTTGTTGTTGGGGGTAGGGGCTATTTTGTTGTTGGGGGTAGGGGCTATTTTGTTGTTGGGGGTAGGGGCTATTTTGTTGTTGGGGGTAGGAGCAATTAGTTGTTTGTTTGGGGGCTATTTTGTTGTTGGGGGTAGGAGCAATTAGTTGTTTGTTTGGGGGCTATTTTGTTGTTTGGGGGCTATTTTGTTGTTGGGGGTAGGGGCTTCTTTGTTGTTGGGGGTAGGAGCTACTTTGTTGTTAGGGGTAGGAGCTATTTTGTTGTTTGTTTGGGGGCTATTTTGTTGTTTGGGGGCTATTTTGTTGTTAGGGGTAGGGGCTACTTTGTTGTTGGGGGTAGGAGCTACTTTGTTGTTAGGGGTAGGAGCTACTTTGTTGTTAGGGGTAGGAGCTATTTTGTTGTTAGGGGTAGGAGCTATTTTGTTGTTGGGGTAGGAGCTACTTTGTTGTTTGTTTGGGGGCTATTTTGTTGTTGGGGGTAGGGGCTATTTTGTTGTTGGGGGTAGGAGCTACTTTGTTGTTTGTTTGGGGGCTATTTTGTTGTTGGGGGTAGGGGCTATTTTGTTGTTGGGGGTAGGAGCTACTTTGTTGTTGGGGGTAGGGGCTACTTTGTTGTTGGGGGTAGGAGCTACTTTGTTGTTTGGGGGTAGGGGCTATTTTGTTGTTGGGGGTAGGAGCTACTTTGTTGTTGGGGTAGGGGCTACTTTGTTGTTGGGGGTAGGAGCTATTTTGTTGTTGGGGGTAGGGGCTACTTTGTTGTTGGGGGTAGGAGCTACTTTGTTGTTTGGGGGTAGGGGCTATTTTGTTGTTGGGGGTAGGAGCTACTTTGTTGTTGGGGGTAGGGGCTACTTTGTTGTTAGGGGTAGGAGCAATTAGTTGTTGGGGGTAGGGGCTACTTTGTTGTTGGGGGTAGGAGCTATTTTGTTGTTGGGGGTAGTGGCTACTTTGTTGTTGGGGGTAGGGGCTACTTTGTTGTTGGGGGTAGGAGCTATTTTGTTGTTGGGGGTAGGGGCTATTTTGTTGTTGGGGGTAGGAGCAATTAGTTGTTGGGGGTAGGGGCTATTTTGTTGTTGGGGGTAGGAGCTATTTTGTTGTTGGGGGTAGGAGCTATTTTGTTGTTTGGGGTAGGGGCTATTTTGTTGTTGTTGGTAGGGGCTATTTTGTTGTTGGGGGTAGGGGCTACTTTGTTGTTTGAGTAGGAGCTATTTTGTTGTTGGGGGTAGGGGCTACTTTGTTGCTATTTAGAGCTCATCACAATGTCGCCATTTAAGTGTAGGGAATGAGATAAAAAAAAAACATGTGGTTAGATTTGAATGTGTTTAGCAGCAGGTCAACTTGGAGTGATGCTAGCTACAAATCGCTTGCCCAGAACCAGAGTGTTCTATCGTTTTGTTTTGCTTAACAATTCTATAGTAAACATTTGGAGAAATAGAGTAGTTCTATAATAATGTTGAGAGATGACCAAGAACTTTTTTGCCAGAAAAGGTTTAGATAGTAACGGTGTATAAATCTCGTCAAAAACGATAAAAGGAGATAGGACGGTCTGGATTTTGGTAATCAAATTGTGTTTAACAAAAGGTCGGTCTAGTGGTTTCACAGTTTACCAATATGTTTGAAATTCGTACGGTAATAACAGCCAGTCAAATTACATTGGTAGACCGAATACAGAGCTATCATGTTAGCAGGGGGGAGAAAGGTTGCTATTTTTCGTCCAGAAAAAAAAAATCAATAATCATTTTATTTTGTCTGTAGTACCAATGTTAAACTGGTAGAGGAAAAACCCACAAGAGAAATCAAGTTAGAAGCGTCCTGTGTTGAACATTAAAGACAATATCTTTGGAGAAACGGTCGCCTATATAATCAATGTTTTCTTTCAGGCATCTCTCCAGGGGAGGATGGCACATCTTTTTTGTTGTTGTTGCGTGTAGTGGTCATCTTGTTTTGTGGTTGTATGTAGTGGTCTTCTTGTTTTGTGGTTGTATGAAGTGGTCATCTTGTTTTGTGGTTGTATGTAGTGGTCAGCGTTCTTTTAGTGGTCGTATATAGTGGTCATCTTCAGGCATCTCTCCGCCATGCCTTCTCCAACGCACGTCTCCCCCCCCCCCCCATCCGCCGGGACGAAATAGAAAAATTATATAAATTGTATAGAACCGTTTACGTCGTCATTGACCCCCCCCCCCCCCTCCTCTCCCTGAGAAAAAATGTCTGAAAGAAACCTTGGTCATGTTACTGTGGTAACATGTGGTGGTCGTGTTGTCGTTTAATTGTCCATTAAATATAAGGTTTTAAGCCAAAAATGGTTTAAAACGAAAGTTTGTTTAAAGCATTCATCCCATTCATCTGATAGACAAAAATTGGAAGGCTGTGTCCTGGTCACCTGATTTCTTCCAATCAAAATCGCGCAATGCCAGCATGATGACCGATTTCCTTTCAAGCACTCGAACAGTTTCTGACATTTCTCAAGAGTAGGTTTTTAGAATTTTCCCGGTCAACTTCGGGTAAATATGTTTAATGAGCTTTCTCTGGTCCAGAGCTGTTGTCCGGTTTTATCGAGGTTAAGTCACGTGGTTTTGATCTGTCTTTATCTCAGGTTTTTTGTTGTTTTTTAGAGGATTCCATCAAATTTAACCTCAAAATAAAGGCAGCCAGTCAATTCTCAATCTATACACACTTTATAACCGTAAAAACACACGTGTATCTTCTCACCATAAACCTTACTAGTCAAATGTCTTCGGGGTCGTCCATAAATGACGTCACACTCGTGACGGTGTGTGATGAGGGGAAGGGGGGGGGGGGGGGGGGGGTTCAGATGGTGTGACGTCACTTCTTTTGCATTATAAAAAAGCAATGTTAGAAAACGAGTTTTAGCCGTTATTTCGCGTTTTAGAAAACGGTTTTAATAAATTGTAATAGGAATTGATCAAAATACTCTATGTTGACAGAGTTCTGACAAGATGTTGGAAAAAATATCGATGTTTTAAGAAAAATCAACAGCAATTTTGAGGGGGGGTTGCAGGCTGAGGTGTGACGTCATTTTAGGGGGGGGGGGAGTCTGGCTTTTTGTGACGACGTGTGACGGAGGGGAGGGGGGAGGTAAAAATCGTCCAAAAAAGCGTGACGTCATTTATGGATGACCCCTCCACACTTCGGATTTTGTCCAGATAAGCCCCGCCTAAAAGTTAACCCCCGCCACGCAAATAAAAGAAAAAGCGGATGAGAAACATGTACTATTTAGATTTATTGGAGAGAGTGAAACTAAGACATATCATTATATTATGCATGAAAGGGTCTATATTTTGGTACTTTTAACCCTAACCCCAAGCCTACAGTTGGATAAGGAATTATTTTTATGCGGTGTGTTTCAAATATTCAAAGGTCTAGACATCAGAAATAAGGTCACAAGTAGCGGGTCTTAAATTTTCGACCTTGTACTTTTAATAGCGGGGTTTATCTAGACAAGACCCCCACACTTCTACCCTCTCATCCTGCCTAGCCTAGAATCGTTTCTTTATCGCCATCTCTATTCACTGCAGTGTAAATTAAGCTAATTCTGTCCAAATCTAAAAAGTATCTTGACAATGCTTCCAGCCTCGCTCTGAGATTTTATTTTTAAAGCAGGGGAGATAACCAATAACAATTTACACGTCTACAAGAGAGCACTGGGCCCTAACGTGAAAATGTACAGACTGTTTTGTGTTATACATGTCTTCTACTGGGACCAGAGTTGGAAAAGATGTACAATATGTTTAAAATTAAAGGGTAAAGTGCTAAGGTCCCCATAAATTTGTAGGTACTAGGGCCCCATAAACTTTTAAGAACTTCTAAAGCTGTACTAAGCATAAGACGAATCAACACACAAACAACATGTATTCACCATCAAGAGATAACATCTACTCACCATTAACACTTAGACAACACATCTACTCACCACCAACACTTAGACAACACATCTACTCACCATTAACACTCAGGCAACACATCTACTCACCATTAACACTTAGACAACACATCTACTCACCATTAACACTTAGACAACACATCTACTCACCATTAACACTTAGACAACACATCTACTCACCACCAACACTTAGACAACACATAGACTTCTACTCACCATTAACACTTAGACAACACATCTACTCACCACCAACACTTAGACAACACATAGACTTCTACTCACCATTAACACTTAGACAACACATCTACTCACCAACAACACTTAGACAACACATAGACTTCTACTCACCATTAACACTTAGACAACACATCTACTCACCAACAACACTTAGACAACACATAGACTTCTACTCACCATTAACACTTAGACAACACATCTACTCACCAACAACACTTAGACAACACATAGACTTCTACTCACCATTAACACTTAGACAACACATCTACTCACCAACAACACTTAGACAACACATAGACTTCTACTCACCATTAACACTTAGACAACACATCTACTCACCATTAACACTTAGGCAACACATCTACTCACCATTAACACTTAGACAACACATCTACTCACCATTAACACTTAGACAACACATCTACTCACCATTAACACTTAGACAACACATCTACTCACCATTAACACTTAGGCAACACATCTACTCACCATTAACACTTAGACAACACATCTACTCACCACCCACACGTAGACAACATATTTACTCACCATTTTGTTCCAGTGTATCCCTGTTGTCAGCTGTGTCTATCTGTTGAGGTAAAATAAAATAATATCAGGCTATTACTTTGAAGTTGTGCTCTATTTGTTTGACTTGCATGTATAAACAGGTTATACAATTCTTTACAGGGAAAATATGATAATTTTTATATATAAATAGTGCCAATCTTACAATGGCCACAGGTATTGAAAATGTGGGGGTTTTTGTATGTGCATTGTTTTTACCTTAGACAACTGCTGTCTCTTAAGCTCAAGCAAGTCCTGCAACTCTTGTATTTCTTGCTCTGAAGCTGCTTCCTCTAAACTTAAGGCCTCAGGTGCTCTTGTTATCACTCTCTTCTTTTTCTTTCTTCTTTCTATCAACAAACATAATTAGATTAAAATGTCATTTTTACTATAAAAAATTTTTTTAAAAACTGTACAAGGCTAAATCTGTTAAAAAACATCATGTGATGTTCCCATGAAAGAAATGTTTACCAGCACTGTTGAGTTGTAGACCAGGGTGTGTTGAGACCTTCCATAGCCTGACAGTGGCATCCAAGCCCCCGGTCAGGATACAGTCTGGGTCAATGCTGCTCCAGCATACGGTCATCAACCTGGCGTTGTGCTCACCGTAAGTTGACACCACCTCACACTTTTGCATATCCCACACCTGGTGCAATAAGAACAGATGTCATTGTTATTTTTACCAGTAATAGGGTCTATTTAAACATGTATAAACAGTACCATTGTAAACAATTTTTATAACATCCAAAAGGTCACAAGCTACATGTTAGGGAGAACTAGACTGACCAAGACAATGTTAGCTACATGTTAGGGAGAACTAGACTGACCAAGACAATGTTAGCTACATGTTAGGAAGAACTAGACTGACCAAGACAATGTTAGCTACATGTTAGGGAGAACTAGACTGACCAAGACAATGTTAGCTACATGTTAGGGAGAACTAGACTGACCAAGACAATGTTAGCTACATGTTAGGAAGAACTAGACTGACCAAGACAATGTTAGCTACATGTTAGGAAGAACTAGACTGACCAAGACAATGTTAGCTACATGTTAGGAAGAACTAGACTGACCAAGACAATGTTAGCTACATGTTAGGGAGAACTAGACTGACCAAGACAATGTTAGCTACATGTTAGGGAGAACTAGACTGACCAAGACAATATTAGCTACATGTTAGGGAGAACTAGACTGACCAAGACAATATTAGCTACATGTTAGGGAGAACTAGACTGACCAAGACAATGTTAGCTACATGTTAGGAAGAACTAGACTGACCAAGACAATGTTAGCTACATGTTAGGAAGAACTAGACTGACCAAGACAATGTTAGCTACACGTTAGGGAGAACTAGACTGACCAAGACAATGTTAGCTACATGTTAAGGAGAACTAGACTGACCAAGACAATGTTAGCTACATGTTAGGGAGAACTAGACTGACCAAGACAATGTTAGCTACATGTTAGGGAGAACTAGACTGACCAAGACAATGTTAGCTACATGTTAGGGAGAACTAGACTGACCAAGACAATGTTAGCTACATGTTAGGGAGATCTAGACTGACCAAGACAATGTTGGCTACATGTTAGGAAGAACTAGACTGACCAAGACAATGTTGGCTACATGTTAGGAAGAACTAGACTGACCATGGCTGTGTTGTCGTAGCCTACACTGGCCAGCATCCCATCACGATGGGGGCTCCAGCAGAGGTCCGTTGTCTTAGAGCCATGTCCATCCACTTGGCAGGACACATGTGTGATGACAATGGGGCTGCTTATATCAGTACATGGTTTAGCTGGGAAAAAAATCAGCTGTTACAGATAACAGACCAGAAAAAATACAAGTAAAACATAAATAAATCTTTTTGAAATTATGGGTAACATCAGTGGCAGACAAATCATAAATAATATTCACTTACCTACCACAGAAATAACAATGTTAACTTAAATATCATTCACTTGTGTGAGGAAAACAAGATCCCTCATAGATCACAAAGTAGCTACATGGAGCAGATGAAATAGAGTTTTTCTGTTTCTCAGCCATTTTCACTTTCTCCTACTCGAGTTATTTACCAATAACAGCTGAATGGACTTAATGATGTCAAACTGACTAGAGCCTGTGGTTTGAACTCTACCACTTATCACGCCATTTCTTATGCATGTGTCTAGTAGATAGAACAAATGGCATGTACTGCAGTAATGAACCATTTACCAAGAGCTGAAGTCAAGTCAACCACAGAGATAGTACTGTCATTCCCAGCAAGGGCCAGCCAGTAGCTACACTGAGATCCCCCGGGAGATTCAGCTGTTGTCTCTGGGTGCCAGCGCAGACAGTTGATAAACTTGCGATGGACAGCTATTTGGTACATGTGCTTCAGGCTGGGGAAACTGTAAACTGACACAGATCTGTAAAGGTAAATTAGCAAGTGTACAAAAACAAATAAATTTTTTAATTATTAATGTAAGGCTGTGAGAGGCACAGAAACCTCACTGTATTGACTAGACACATGTACATACCATGAGACTAACTATCTATGGTGTGCTCAGATTCAGGGTTTAAGTTTCTAAAAGAATTTCCAATATAGAATTATTTCTTTTTATAGCTCAAAGTAAAACCTAATTCATATCCAATATCTCAATGCTGGCATAATTATTTTTGGTTAATTTTAGTATAAATGTATCAAGATTACAGAAGAAAATGTGAATACCCAATCATTTTTTTTATTTTGGTAACAAAAGGCTCATACTGGTAATGTATTGAATAGTTCCCACTTACCCATTGTCATGGCCAACAGCAAATGCAGAGAAGTCTTTCCTCCAAGATAACTCACTCCTAATCAACTTTTCTTTCTGAAAATAGAATGATCTGCTCTGTTATCAAGGTGATTTAATTATTACACCCAACATTAGTTCTATTCTGTGAAGGTTGTAGTTTACATTTTGTTGCAACTTATTTTTTTCTTAACAAAGCTGAATTGTAAAGATGAGGGTATGGAAATGGAAAATATAATAGTACACACCCGACGCTGTAACGGTTATTCAATAATTTTTTTCTCCTATAAAAGAAGGGGCTATGCATTTAATCAAGAAGAGGTTGGGCACAAACACAAGAAGGGGTTGGACAGATAAAAAATGAGGGGGCTGGACAGGCACACAAAAATTGGTTGGACAGATATACAATGAAGAGTTGAACAGGTACACTAGAAGGGATTAGATGGACACAAAAATGAAGTCAGATGGACTGGTACAGCAACACAAGAAGACATTTGACAGGTGTACAAGAAAGAGATTAGCAATGATCACAAATAGAAGCTGCACAGAAACAATTATTTTATAATGCACTACAGACCTCAACCCCATTGACTGCTTGAATAGCCTTGACCAGGCTCACGGCTGACTTGTTAGAATCTCCAATAAAATGTTGCAGAATTGTTCCATCACCTATAGAATACACCTGGCTGCCCCCTGCACAAATTAATAATCAAACAAGTATTTAATTATTCCAGGTTAAAAAGCAGCACTTTCATAAGCTCTGAGATGTATTAAATAAGTAAGTTACATTAGAAAATCTCAAAAGCTCAAGTGAGATAATATTTATCAGCATCAACAGTTGTGATAAGTAAGACGTAAATCCTAACACTGTATAGGTAAAAAAAACAAATAAAAAGGGAGTCCAACATTTCCCATCTACAAATGTGGGTTAAATAATAATAACAGCCCTTAGAAGAAAAAAAAGAGCATGTATTTTTAAATATGAATATCTAAGGTTGCTTAAAGATGTATTTGCCCTAATGAAAGACAAATTTTTTAAATACTGATCTCATAATTAAAGCTGACCTGCATCTGACTGTATTGGCGGAGCCCAGCATACAACATAAACTGTTTTATTATGAAAAGTCGAGGACATAGTAGGTGGCCTGAAACAGTTATGTTATAGTTAGTGATATCTGACAGCAAACAGTCTACAAAAAACTATGCATTTAAAGTATAAAATTACATACAAGGAACTTGAAAATAAAACATATGAAAAGTTTAAAAAAGTAGTATCAAAAACTTCTTAAATCTGGCAAAAAATAATCTCAAGCTTACTTGGCAACTAATGTGTTGTAAACACCCACACGACCATCTTCTGTACCATAGGCAAGTAATCCTTCTTTCTCAGGGTGCCAGGCAACCTGTCATGCAAACAATATCAGTTATTTTTCAATATTCATAGAAGAATTTGTATGTATCTTTAGCAGACCTATTTGAAAAGTTTTTGTCTTTATGAAATACAACAAATGTTTTTGTTTCTTTTAAATCAAAAGTTTCTTTGATTCTCTTACATAAGAGTGGTGTTCTCCAAATTATAATAAAAATGGTTTCAATATGGTCTTAAAGTTTCATGGTCATCAACCATTAAATAATTGTTAATTGTATAAACCACTTCTAGTTTTTAAATTTTTTACTACTATTTAAGGAGATAAGATTATTATGTTTCTTTGTAAATAGTAAAGATTAATTCAGACTGAACACAGACATAATTTAAGTTAAATGAATTACCGTGGTAATCTTAGATTTTATACCATGGTACAAGCATGACATATCAAAAGGGTTGGACTTGTTACTTTGATTCCAAATTCTAATGGTATTGTCACCTGCACCAATCGCTATGCAACCTAAATCACAAAAGAAAACAAATCATTAAAAAAATAAAACATAAAATAAAGCATGCTATGGGGAAGGGAAATAATATTTAAAATGAAATTATAAAAATACTATAATTATAATAAATCTGAATTAAATGCACAGTTAAAACATTCAACAAAGAAGATAAAAGAGTCTTAAAATTCTTTACAGGTACAAAAGAACAAGTTTTCTTTTTTTTATCTTACAACTAGCTAAAAAATATATTTACTTACCAGGATCAAGAGGAGACTCTCTAATACTGTAAATATAGCCTCCAAATGAACTCAACAAACAAAGGCCCTCAAAAGACTCCAAACTCCACACACCAATCTAAAAGTATTTTTTTTTAAATAATGGTTTATTACATTTTAGTGATTCAATTTAAAACAAATTATAAAATATGCTTACATATTAGAAAGTAAAAAACATTGATTCTAATAAAAAGATATCTGGAGCTTAGATTTTTTTAAAAACTTTTAATCTTAAGAAATATTTGTAATAAGAAGCCAAAAGACCTAGAAACAAATATTTTTTTAAAACTTACCTAAACACATAATTATGCTACAAAGATATTTGATAAAACATCTTTAACACAAGCTTGTTATCAAATATGCTGGTTGTTTATTTATTTTTTATTTTTTTATTTACAGTTAATCCACTTACTGTTCTATCCAGTGCGAATGAGCAGAGTTTGTTGTCAACCAGAGTTAAATTAAAAATCATGCGGGTATGCCTGTTTACATTTTTTGACACAAAAGACTCCAATTTTTGCTCTCCTTTTTTACTGAGATCTATCAGAAACAACTCTCCCGGTTGTCTTTAGATAAAAATGGAATTAAAAAGTATTAGAGCAGTGAGTAAAAAGGCAATTTAAAAACAAACAATAGAATTCTTTAAAACAACAGAGGTGCAACTTTTATATTCACATCCAACAATAGTAAGGACAGGTTCATTAGGCTTCAGTATAGCCCTTGCCTGAAAATCACTGGGCTCTGTGAATAGCATATTATAATCACTATTTATATCAAGCAATAGCTATACAGCAATAACTTGGGGTCTCTTATATTAGTGGCTTAAGGCTGGTCAACTGCCCCCTAAATGTGCCTACAGGCCAGTTTTATGTTTACTACCTTTACACCATAAAATTATTTACATCAAGCCTTTCCACATATATTTTACAGAAGAAAGCTGAATACGATTTACCCTGAAGAAGTTGAAATAAGTTTATGCGGCAGAGTTTTAGGCCAGCATATTTCAAGCCACTGCTTTTTTGCCATTGGATCTTGGAAGTCACCTCTGAATGCTGAGCCTTGTGGAAGTTTTTTACTGAGAACTTCTTTTCCTTTGGTGCTACTCCAGATTTTGATAGACCTCCTTCCTGCTGTGGCAATCAATGCTCCATCATTATCTAGAAAACAAAAATCGATTTTAACTGAGTTAATGGATTTAAAATTATTTTTTACAAAACAAAAAAAGTTTAGTTATGACATGACAAAATTTTTTAAAGGTACTACCTTCGCCATCCTCATGTAAAAAGTTTTCTCCCTTGATTGGAGACCAACAAATACTAGTAATTTCCCCTTCATGGCCTCTTAATCTTTGCAAAATTTTAGGACGGTCTTTATCAACTTCGACTATTAAGGCAAGTCCAGTACGATATCTAAATAAAAATGTGTATGCAAAACACGCTCTTTAACAAATGATCAAACTTGATATAACATCACAATACAACACCCGCAATACAGAACAACAAATATCCCATAATTCTCACCCAATAGCAAGATGTGAAGCAGAATGTGGTGAAGCTTTGATGCAGTAAACAAATTCCTTCTCAATTCGAAAAGATCGAACAGTATTACTTTTCAACTTCCATACAACCACAGTTCCCTTCTCACTGGCTGTGAAAATATTGTCTAAATTTCTAGGAGACCAAGACATACAAGTTATTTTTTCCTGAAAATAGAAGTATAAAATGAATAAAATAATATTGAATTACTGTTATTTAAGTAATTTACATATTGTTACTTGTGAATAGGAAGTAAAAACCAACAAACATAATCCTCGAGCACTATAAACTATTTTCTCATTATTAAGCAATATATTTGTAATTTGCATAGCTAGTGTCTCTGATAAATATTATTATACTTTGACATTTTTAATAACATTAAACACGCATAGTACTGTCACTAACTACTACAGTAAAGTACAGTAATTATGCTCTTACTTCAGCTTCTTAATCCTATGGAGCATAGAAATTACATGAAGTAGTAGTCTAATAGACTACCATTTTAATTAATAATTACCTTGTGCTCATTGTGAATCTGTATTGTCACTAAAGATCGAATATCCCAGAGTCTCACACTGCTATCATCAGAGGAGCAACAAATCCATTGACTGGATTCCGGAGACAAGCACACAGCAGTAATTTTATCCAAGTGTTCCATATAGCAAGCAACCAGTTTTGGGACAAGATTTGGTTTTTTTTCATTATCAATATTAATATCTCCAACGCAGTCAATGTGTGTGTTTTTAATGTCATAAATATACACACTATTTCGAGCCCCAAAAGCATAAAGACCTGAGTCATTCCCACTACTAGCTGATGATAAAAACCAGTTGGGTGAACAGGGTAAAACACACTCTTGCATTTTAAGTCAAATGTTTAGCAGAATCAGTTTCTTTTCTTAGTACTGTAGTAGATCTGTAGCACTGTAATGAAATGTACTGTGTAATGCAGATGGTCAACTTTGAAAATTTCTACAGAAAAGATAATGTATTATAATTTCATATAAATAAGATTAAACTTTTATCCTTTATTTTTTTTTAATGCCAGAAGAAGAAAAGTTCACTTGTTTCAGTGAAATTGGCATAGATAAAGAAATAGTATGGTCAGCAAAGTCTATAACCAGCACCCTTTGCTTTCCCTAACATGAGTCAGGTACCCATCAGAGTTGAGGGGACAGTGATTTTCTACTGGCACAAACCCAAGAATTGAACTCAAGCTGTCTGGTTAGCAGTAAGATGCTCTACATCCGGATGCCGTTGGAGAGTAAAACCTTAACATTAAGAATAATGACAAAGATAGGCCAATTCTTTCAACTACTATACTATTGAATATAGATTGACGGGCTATAGAGTATAGGGGCCTATGATTAAATTTTAAAATTTTAAAGATCTAAATCTAGATCTAGAATAACGTTTAATTGTTTTTAATCTTGGCCTGCTCTCATACTTCATAGGTCATAGCTCAGAATGTAATCTGACTGATTTAAATTTTAAATGAGATTGTTTATAGTTTATATCAGTCGTTCCCAAACTTTTGAGAGTAGTGACCTCTTTTTATAAATTGTAGGTGACACAAAACCCCCATAGAATTAAAAAGTCAAAATTAATAAGAAAATTAATAAGTACTAAAATAAGTTTTCTAGTAAACTGTCAATATGAATTATTCTTGATAACTGTTTTAATTCGATGAGTGAAATTACACGCTATTCACTAGCCGGACTAGCCTCAACCTTTGCGTTTGAGTTTTTGTAGTTAACACCAACTCATGTCATTCTTTGTTTTGTTTTTATTTGGAGAAGTGCTGAAAATCTCTTCTCACAAAGATATGTAATAAGTAATAGATTATATGTAGTATGTTAGTATTTGGTATGTATGTACTGGATGTAGTCTAGTGTTAGTATGTATGTAGACACAAAAGGAACTAGATCTAGATTCTAAAACTCGAAAGGCAATCAATTTCACGTGTGGAATATGCCATGGTACATAGGCCTATTCGATCATAATAGTTTATTTAATTAATACACCAAATTTCCAAAATGGTGTGAGTGACGGTGTGAGTAGTGAGTAGTTTGTACTAGTTTTTCATTTATTTAGGCTAACGCGGCAATGGACACCAGCGAGTTGACGAGATTCCCTCCGTAATATTGTTGACATGGAATAAAAATGTGCTTTTTTAGATTTAGGACCATAAAACTAATAAAAGATAAAATTTTATTAAAAACTTAAGCCTAAAATTAATTCAGAAATGTAATAGTTTTAGAATTAATGCTATACAAGTTGCAGATCCAGAGAACTTGAAAATAATTTGTTGAGTTTAAGGCTACATTTCTATTTATTTTCATCAAGCCTAAGTTATAACCCGATGTTTCACTTTCGTAAGACAAACAGTGATTGGCTGTAAAGGAACTCCGTGATCGATTTCTGACAGCCCCACTTTATAGTTATTTTGTTTACAAAACTTTGCAGATCAAATTTTTAAATAACTATGCAAATTTAAACACCATGACCTATTGTTTCTATTTTTAGCTTACAATGTGTACAATAAAATTTATGTCGGCCATTGTTTATGTTGCCATTACACGTGAAAACCAAATTGTTTTTTCTTTTTTTTTAATTTTTATTTAGTTACCGAAAATATTAAAAACATCAAATATATCCAATCTTTAGTAAAGTCCGAAAAAAACCAGACAGACAGGATTTTATAACCATATTAATTGTAACTACGCTGTGCATGATTTTTAAATGAATTTATACACCTCTCAAATACCTTTGAGACTTTTCTCGCTGGTGTCCATTCATCAGGCCTATCTATTAGTAGGCCTATCTAATCTATATAATTAATTAAGTTAATTAAGTATTATTAAGTAATTAACTATTAATGGAGAGGTTCGCCGCTCGTGTCAGCGGCGCGTCGTGGATAGATCTAGATCTAGATTCTAGATCTATTTTATCTAGATCTAGATTTTATTTTTAAAAAGAGTATTTTAAAAATTGTACCGTAGATCCAGACTCCGGAGCCTTGATTTAAAAACCGAGATTTTTACTCAAGACTAACTTATCTAGATTAAGACTCAAGTTTCGCTTTCTCCAATCAATGGAAAGTTTTTCTGGTGTTTTTTTTAACTGAAGAGTTACTAGATCTAATCTAGATTCTAAATCTACACCGTCTGCTAGGAGGCTTCGTCTCACATGGCAATCTTAGGCTAACTCACTTGAATTCTTGGAAATTATTTGATTCCTTCAATTATTTTTTTTTTAATCTCAGCTGAAAAATTGGAAGGCTACATTAATAGATGGTATACCGACAGAAGCACTGACAGCAGATATACAAACTAGCACCACATTACTACACACACTCTTCAAGAAAATCTGAGAAGATGAACAAATACTAGAGTGGAAGGAGGGATTACTCATAAAACTTCCAAAGAAAGGCGATATTAGTGCATGCTCTAAATATAGATCTAGAGGGATAACACTTTTGTCCATCCCAGGCAAAGTCTTCAACAGAATATTATTAAACAGAATGAAGGAAGCGATAGACCCCCAGCTTCGAGATCAACTAGCGGGCTTTAGGAATGAAAGGTAATGCGTAGACCAAAAAGCTACCCTACGCATCGGTGCCCTGTCAAAACGGCCCGGGACAAATCGGCCCCGTCAAAACGGCCCCGTAAATATGACCCCGTCAAATCGACCCCCGACAAAACGACCCAGTCAAAATAGCCCCGCCAAAAGGGCCCCGACTTATTGGCCCCCGTCAAATGGGCTCCCGTTATATTGACTCGCGACATATAGGTTCCCGACAAATGAGTTCCCGACATTTAGGCTCCCGACAAATGGACACTCGACATATTGGCTCCCGACAAATAGGTTCAGGACATACTGGCTCCCGACAAATGGCTCCCGGCATATTGGCTCCCGACATAAGGGCTCCCGACATATTGGCTCCCGACAAATGGGCTACCGACATATTGGCTACCGAAAATGACTCCCTACATATTGGCTCCAGACAAATGAATGGCATGACCACTATTGGCATAAAAGTGACCATTTTGTCCTACCTCCACTACTACTATAACCTCTTTTTAATGCCTCAATGAAACTGTTTTTCATGAACCAACATCAATTCACAAACAAATCAAGCCCTTAACAGCTAAAATCTTCCAATTCTAAAATTTTGATAATGTTTAATTTACAACAGTAAAGATCTGTTGCATAAAAGCGATATACATGATGTTTACAGGATAACGACATTTTGTTTTGATAACCTACAAGCATACTGGAGGTAGGAAGGTACAGCGTGGACCCTTCTCCCCAAACACTGAGTTGGAACAGCCTATAACCGACTTAATTATGGAAGTCATAGATAGATGACCCTTAGATTAAAACATACTATATTTTATAATAGATAAACTAATATAAAAATAAGGCCTGCCGAACAAGAGATGCATACGTTGTATTACTTAAGAGTGTTGGATAAGCTAACTCTAAAGAATATTGATGAAAGGGTCCCACTTGCAGGTGTCATATTCAATGAGACCGCTTTGCCGGGAGACTTAGTCTCTACAGAAACGGTATTGTCAGTGGTCCTTTTGTCTGGAGCCAAATTGACAGGAGACTTTTTGTCGTGAGCCAAAATGACGCGCTAGCCTATTTGTCGGGAGTCGTAATGACGGGGGCCGTTTTCAGGAAAAAACTAAATGACGGGAGCGTATATGTCGGGAGCCAAAATGACGGGAGCCTATTTGTCAGGAGCCTTATTGACTAGAGCCCTTTTGTCGGGAGCATATATAATGGGAGCCTATTTGTCGGGAGCCTAAATGACGGGAGCCTATTTATCGGGAGCCTTTATGACGGGTCCATATGTCGCTGGCCATTTTGACGGGGTCAATTTGACGGGGCTCTTTTGTCGGGGCCAATTTGTCGGGGTCGTTTTGACGCCGCGCATCATCATCGAACGGACGCAAGAGTGGAACTCATCTCTCTTTATTAATTTCTTAGATTACGAGAAGGCCTTTGACAGCCTGGATAGACAGTCAATGTGGAAATTGTTGAGACACTACGGGGTGCCACAGAAAATAGGGGTCATCCATAAATGACGTCACGCTTTTTTTACGATTTTTACCTCCCCCACCCTCCCCTCCGTCACACATCGTCACAAAAAGCCAGACCCCCCCCCTAAAATGACGTCACGCCTCAGCCTACAACCCCCCTCAAAATTGCAGTTGAATTTTTCTTAAAACATCGATATTTTTTCAAAATCTTGTCTAAAACGCGAAATAACGTCTAAAACTCGTTTTCTAACATTGCTTTTTTTTATAATGCATCTGAACCCCCCTCCCCCCTGTGAGTGTGACGTCCTTTATGGACTTCGCCTACTATTCAAAACGTGAAAATATTTTGGCTATTTTCATTGTATGTTGATCTGACATAATCATTTACGCTAGTGTCAAATAAGACGGAATTCTATAAAATATTTATTAATTTAATATTAGAAGACATCTAGATCTAGATTCTATAATATATTACATTCATTAGTTTAAATTAGCATTAGACATTGGATTATTTATATCTATAATAGATCAACGTTATTTTCCAACTAATCAAGCATGTCTTTATTCAGAGCTCGGGTTTGTCTTGCTTTTGCTCATTTTGACTTTAGTGATTGTTTGTGTTTAATTTCTTTTTAGTTTTTCTATATTATTATTTAGTAGGCCCTATTAACATTTATTTTATCATCTAGAATCTAGATCTATCTAATTAATAAATTCATCTATTCAAATATAATATATTGTTTTATAAATTAGATAGTAGGCTAACAATTTTGGACGATTCTAGCCTGAAAAAGAATGGCATCTTTAACTTTAAGATGCAGATGTGCATAACTCAACAATTAGAATAGATCTAGATCTACCTGGTTTTTCTTGTTATCTACATGCTCGCTGTTTACTACTGTTTAGTGTTTAGGCCTAGATCTATGTGTTGTATTGATGGGACAGGGATTAACACGATAAATACTTGCGCAGATGTTTAGGTCATTGCATTTTGCATTTTTGCCAGCCAGCTAGCGCTTGGGGGAAAAATCTTTTTCCGAGTAGTCACTTTGAATAATTTTTACTTATTTTTACTAAGTCACTTAAAAGTGACTACTCAAAGAAGCTTCTGGTAGCAGAAGAGTAAAAAGGCAATGACCTTCATAGCTCCACAATGGTCTCAAATTATCCCTTGAAACTCTTAAATTAATAGCTGCATGGCGACTGTAATAGATTGAGATAATTGTGAGGTCAAGGGAACTCACTCTTCTGTATTAGTATTATATTTATATTGTTATCTGGAGTGATGTCCCTTGTGCATTGTACTTCCTTCCGTCCTCCTCTCTGTGTGGTTCCATCATGTAGTTAGACCCAATAAACGTTATATACAACCACATGCTTCTATCGTCAATCTATTATATCTGGCGACGAGGATAAAGATCTACTAGAAAGAGCACCTACTTACGCAAAAAAGAGGTTTGCTAGAGCTTATTGGCTAAGTATTTCTAGAATAATGGCGCTGTATGGCCAAATAAAACAATTTGATTCGAATGATGAAATCATTCAGGATTACCTAGAGAGGTTAAGCTTTTACCTTGAAGCTAACGACGTGACGATAGAAGCCAAAAAGAGAGCTGTTTTGTTAACAGTCATAGGGCCTCAACAATTTAGGCTACTAAAGGACTTATGCGCACCAGCTAGTCTAACTACCAAGAGCTTTAACGAGCTGAGCAAATTGCTAACAGACCACCATGCGCCTACCCCATCAAAGTTTCTATGTCGAGCTAGATTTGACAGTAGGACTCGTCAACCAAACGAGTCAATATCAGAATATGTTGCTGCTTTACGTCATTTAAGTGAATTTTGTGAATTCGGAGACACGCTGTCTGACAGATTATGTGAAAAGTTTGTGACAGGTGTAAACAGCCCTGATATTCAAAGAAAGTTGCTGCTCGAGTCAGATCTAAAATTAGAAAAAGCAATACAACTTGCAACTTCATTCCAGCAGTCATCTGATGCGGCGAGATCTTTAGCACCTTCAGAGATCCATGCAGTAAACAGCAGGTTAGTCAATAAACATCAACCCCATCAGAGCATTCCAACTTATGCTAAACAGCCTGCTCGTTCAAATCCTAGATCTAAATCTAGTAATAATTATCAAAAATGTCATCGATGCAAAGGTCCCCATGCATCTCATCGGTGCAAGTTCAAGTCTGCAACTTGTTATAAGTGCAGTAAGCAAGGTCACATTGCCAAGGCCTGCTTTGCAAAGTCTTCGTCTGTTGCTAAATCTAGCCAGTCAAGACAGTACCGCAACCAAAGGCAGCACTATGTTAACTCTCACCAAGACTACCTAACCCAACCAATGAACCACTCTACCTGTGAAAATGCTCAAACTGATTCGCAGCCGGATTTCAACCTGTTCTCTGTGAAATCAATAAGTCATGCTCCCATCAATGTACTAGTTAATATCAACGGTAAGAGCATCAGCTTCCAACTTGACACTGGAGCATCTCTAACAGTCATAACAAAGAAAGATTTTGACGCTGTCACAGGAGGATCAGTGCCTCTACAGCCATGTCACAAGTGTCTAACAACATACACTGGTGACAATGTTCCGGTAATAGGAGAGTGTATGGTTCATGTAAGTAATAATGGTCAAAGTGTTAAACTTCCTCTTCTTGTGGTTGAAGGAAATGGACCACCATTACTAGGTAGGAACTGGTTAAGTGATCTTAAGTTAAATTGGGAGAGTATTTGTTCATTGAAGAATGTAAAAGAATCTAGTCTTACTTCACTAGATAGAGTTATATCTGAAAATAAATGTGTTTTTGGTAATCCAGGATTACTAAATGATAGAACAGTGAAGTTAAGCATTAAAGATACAAATCCAAGATACTGCAAAGCTAGAGTTCCACCTTATGCAATGAGGAATAAAATTGAAAATGAGCTAAGTAGATTGGAATCTAATGGCATCATAAAGAAGGTAGACTATTCCGATTGGGCGTCGCCCATTGTGCCAGTGTTAAAGAAGGATGGTTCTATAAGAATTTGTGGAGATTATAAAACTACACTGAATAAGCAAATAGAGCTAAATAGGTACCCTATTCCTAACATTGAGGAAATTTCTTTGAATTTGGCAGGAGGAGACAAATTCACTGAATTAGACTTTAGTCATGCTTACACTCAACTAGAACTGCATCCAGATTCAAAAGTCTATACGACAATAAACACACATAAAGGACTCTACCAATATGAAAGACTATGTTTTGGCATATCATCTAGCCCTGGAATTTTCCAAGCTGTCATGGACAGTATTTTTAAGGATATTCCAAATGTTTGTGTGTACTTTGACAATGTGTACATAACTGGTAAGAATGACACTGAACATCTTAAAACACTAGATAAAGTATTGAAAATTGTTGGTGAAAAAGGTTTAAAGATAAACAAAGATAAATGTCAATTCATGTTGACAGAAATTAGTTTTCTTGGTTATATATTGAGCAAACAAGGCATCAGACCTCAACCTGAGAAAACAAAAGCCATTAAAGAAGCACCCAAACCTGAAAATACCCAACAACTAAGAGCTTTTTTGGGCTTAATAAATTACTATGCAAAGTTCATAGGAAATCTGTCTGGTAAACTATCACCACTGTACAAGCTGCTACAGAAAAATGCAACTTGGCACTGGGGTAAACAACAAGATACTGCTTTTAATACAGCAAAAGAGGCTTTGTCTTCTGACACCTTACTAACTCACTATGACCCAGGGAAAAGACTTATATTAACATGTGATGCTTCACCAGATGGTGTAGGAGCAGTCTTGTCCCACATGGATGAGAAGGGTGACAGACCCATTGCTTTTGCCAGTAGATCTTTGAACCAGGCTGAGAAAAATTATTCTCAGTTAGATAGGCAAGGCTTAGGCATCATTTTTGGTGTTAAGAAATTTCATAAGTTTCTATTTGGTAGGAAGTTCACCATCTTTACAGATCATAAACCATTGCTAGGTTTATTTGGAGAAAACAAAACCCTACCTGAGCATGCCTCACCAAGAATTCAAAGATGGGCTATCACATTAACTGCATACAATTATGAATTGAAATACAAACCTGGATCTGAGAATAGTGCAGATAGCCTTAGTAGATTACCTTTAAAAAACCAAAGCCTGAGCTATGTACCAGAAGATGTATTTGTTCTCTTCACTATCATGGATAACTCCAATATAAATGTGAATGATATTAAAAGAGAAACACAAAAAGATGAGTGCTTAATAAAAGTATATGAGCACTGTATGAATGGTTGGCCTGAAGAGTCTGTGAATGATGACTTAAGGCCATATAAAATAAGAAATTAAAACCCTTTGTGAAGATAATATAAAAGATGGAGAAGATGCAGTCCATTATCAGTCAGAGTTGCCTAAACAAAGTATTTGTAACTTAATAAATGATTATGGTGATATGGCAATTTCAAATGTTTTAAAGAGAATACATTAGTAAGAAGGAATGTGATCATCAAACAACTTTGCTAACATCATTAGCACTTACAGAAACTAAAAGGGTAACATCAAAAGAAAAAAAAAAAAGATTTTTTGCCATTTAATACTTTCAGATGCCAATTCAAAAATAGTTCCATTAAATCATGACAACTCATGCATTGAAAGAGAATTTGGTGTTAATAAGAATGTGTATCTAAGAAATTATGGGAGAAAGGAAAAATGGATACCAGGTCAAATTGTTCAATGTACAGGACCTGTGCCTTATAAAGTTAAAAATAACTTGTGCAGATAATAAGTGTGAATCTGTCAATCCCACCAAGTCTGATCAGTTCACACCAACTCAGTTTGTTCCACAACCAAGTTCTGTTGATATGAGTGAACCAAGTTGTCTGGAGTCAGAAAATGTAAATTCTGGAGTTAATGATTTAAATCCTAGACCTCCTGAGATAGAGAATCCAAATGGTCAGAATCTTGAGTCACCAAATCAAAAGCCACTGAGAAGGTCAAGCAGGACAATCAAAGTCCCAAATAAGTTAGACCTATGATTTTAAAGGTCAAGAGGACTTTGACATTATTGTTTTGTATTTTAATTATGTTGTAACATATTGTGCATTGTTTGTAAGGATGTAATCTACCATAATGTTCATGTTACAATATAATTGGTGATTTTAGGATACTATCAATTGTTCTATTGAGAGATGTGTTATTGTGTTCTAAGGGTAAAGGGATGTAATAGATTGAGATAATTGTGAGGTCAAGGGAACTCACTCTTCTGTATTAGTATTATATTTATATTGTTATCTTGAGTGATGTCCCTTGTGCATTGTACTTCCTTCCGTCCTCTCTCTGTGTGGTACCATCATGTAGTTTGACCCAATAAACGTTATATACAACCACATGCTTCTATCGTCAATCTATTATAGCGACGATGGGCTTAAATTATCCCTGTATAGCAGCGCAATGGGATGAAATTACGCTTTTAGTTTTAACCTGGTCATTGTAGCGCTGTGCACATCCGCTTCTTCTTCCGGCTAGAATCTGCCTAGCTTTTCACTTTAATATAAAAAAGTGTTTGATTATGGCATTCCAAAGAAGATAGTAATTCTCATCAAGAACACATACCAAGGGCAACTTAAAAATGGTTTTCAGGTCCGACTGGAGTCTCAGAAATTCCTCCTGTTACCACTTCTCTTCCTCAAAATATCCACAAGGAAAAGGCCAAAACACTAAAAATGAATGTTTAATATTTGTCTTTCTTTTTTTTACTCTACTTCTGACCTATCAGAGAAACACAACAAATGTAGTAGGCACTAGTTTTTTCCACAGTAATGACATTACTTTTTGCAGGTGTTGGCAGCACTTAGAAATGTTCATCGGGCTAAAAGAGAGGTTTTTAATGGTGATGATCATGCAATGAAAGGTGAGCTATATATAGAAATTCAAATATGCTGGATTATTTATAGTCACAGAATTGTGTTATTTTGTTATTTAGGCCCTAATAATTAAATTTATATAGTTATGTTGAATAAACATTTATGTTTACAGTGACCACCAATAAAATAAGAGAGGAATTTAGAAAAAATATGACTTTGTCAGATCCTACCAAATTAGAAGAGGTAATTATAACTAACCTTTCCCAGCTCTTTTTAAACACATACTTTGATTTGTGTCTTATACAGTACTTATATGTTGAGCTCAAGACAAGCAGGAAAAACATACAAATTCTTCTGTAGTTTGTAAAACTAATTTTACAATAGTTTAATTTTAATCCTTGTTTTATCTCAGCTATAAATAAAAATGTATTTGTGTTCAGTTATTTATCTGATACTATCAAAATTAAATAGTGTTCCCATCTTCTGCACCATGTGGGTAGATAATAGAAAAAAGACCTTAAATCATAATTATTGTATTCACTATTTTGTGTCGCATACCATTCCATATATCAGGGGTTCCCAACCTTTTTTTAATCTAGAGCACATTCTAAAATATTGGATATGGTGTCGGGCACCACCTATTTAAAATCGACAAACTCCATCCATAACTTGTCATTTTCCCATAATTTATTTTCTTATAGTCATAATGTATTAATAAATAATAAACAAAAAGTTTCAAAATAATCAAATTATTTGGCATTTTTTTCAAACTGCATACCCACAGAGAAATGTATTTACAAAAATAATGTTTATGAAAAAAATTCTGTCGAATAGTGAGAGGCGGGCACATACGAATCGTTCAGCGGGCGCCATGGCGCCCGCAGGCACAGGGTCGGGAACCCCTGCCATATATGTATATATATATATATATATATATATATATATATATATATATATATTTGTATCAGTTTCTCATCTGTGCATCACCTAGTGTCTGATTTGGCATCTTAACCAGGGGGTCTGGAGTAGGGGAGTCCTCTGATGTGGGTGCCCTACTCAAGGGGTCAACAAAACAGCAAGCTATTACAATTGATGACTAATCAGAATCAGGCATTGTAGAGTAACCAGTGGCTCCCAAAAGTGTGCCACAATATCCCTTACACTTTACACCCAGGCAAGGGTGGACATACAATTAATATCCAAGAAATGTAGTGTCGACTCTGCTTACATTAAAATAAAACAAGTTCTTATCAACTGACAATTTAATTTGGTATCTAAGATTAGATGATGGCACAAACTGATACTGCCGTGCTGATATTTTTACAGCACATCACATAAAATTAGTTGATTACATTCAATAGATGCAGTACTTTGTTGTTGACCACACATATTAATTTTTTTTTTAATTCTTCTTATATTTATATCAATGTCATGTGCTATGGGTCAGCTAATCCTTACTTGCATGCATATTAAGGCCATCTTTACTAGCACTTTAAGTTAAGAAAAATAAAAACAAACTAAACATCATTAATATTATATGTATCATTAATATTACTACTACAAGCCTAAATACATACATACACACATCAACACATGTACATCTATATATAACATTTATTCTGAAATTTAATAGGTTTTCATTTTTCAGGCTATTACGATAGCTAATGATGCAGCCATGCTATTGCGCACAACAGTTGTTCAACTTAGACAAAAAAACCAAGACACATTTGGTATTTGTAGTTTTTAATATCACCACCTTAAAACAAGAATAATATGTGTATATGCTTCAAATATTTTTAATAAGTGTGCACTCACTTTTAGTAGTCACTGCTTTAAGTTTATGGAGAGATGAACTATACTATATTAACAATTATTACCATGTATTTTTGAAAATCTAGGTACAATGCCTAATATGTTAACATTCTTTTGCTCAACTTATCAGAATTACGGCTGACAAAAAACACAGCCCTGCCAAAGAACACACCATATGATCCATCAAAAGAGATACCTTTACGTCACAGGGGGAAAAATTGTTCTGAAGCTGGGTCTTATTCAGATTCATAGTTTTTACTTAAAATAGTGTTGTATTATAATTTATAATGTACATAAAACTGTGACTTTTATAAAAAGCTATTTTGTCAATGATCATGAATTTTAAGGTATGTTTACTTATTTAAATACATATGATAAACCATTATTTATAAAGTATGTGCACACCTAATTGCTCTCTCTGTAAGAGTGTGTAACGAAAGTGGGCATGAGAGGTATTCTAAGGTATAGAAAAGATGTTGCTTGTATGGGTATGTTTGACTTGAATATTAATAAAGTACATTAAAAAAACAACCTTATTTCTAAAGATAGTATTTATAATTATGCCCAGTTTACTTGTAATAATATTGTTAAGCTCTTTTAAGTGCATGTTTAAAAAATTTCTAGATATTAATTGGTTGCATATACATTTGAGTTCAACACAAATAAATGACAACTTATCATTTAGCTAAAGGTGTAGCTCCCAAGTTGCTTTAGAAATGTTCTGTACTGTGTTTAACAAAAACTGCATAAATCTAGTGTATTAATTAAATAAAATGTAGCCAACTATGGCGATTGTTTATAAGCAACAAAACAAGTTTGCTTAGGCTTCAAGGAACAAGCCAAAAATGTATAGCAGGCTCTGCATTCTAGTCATTATGCTAAAGCATCTGGCTATATTCATCTCTTGTAAATTGTAACATTGGACAGCTGCCTCTATGTATTGTTGTGAGATCTTTTGAAGTATTTGTTAAATATTCATTGGTTAAAAATAATTAAATGTAGATTTACTATATATAGATCTATGTTCATTTTGAATTTCCTTTTGGTAACTTTTACTTGTGATATATTTGTAAAAAAGAAAAACATTTAAGTTATCAGTATTTATGTTCAAGCCTGCTTTTTTATTTAAGAATTTTACATTGTTCTACTTTTTCTGTAAGCTTCATTTCTTTAATATTTATGATAGCTAATTAGCCGAGTTTAGTTATTTTTATTTCATAAGGCATATCTAAAGTAAAGCAATTCAGTATTTTGAAGTCAAATTAGTTGATACGGGGTCGTTAAATGACGTCACACTCGTAGAGGGGGGGGGGGGAGTCCATGATTTTGTGGAGGGGGGGGGGGGGTTCAGATGGTGTGACGTCACACTTTTGCATTGTAAAAAAGCAGTGTTAGAAAGCGAGGTTTAACCGTTCGCGTTTTAGAAACCTGTTTTAATAAATTGTAATAGTAATTGATTAAAATACTCTATATTGACAGAGATCAGACAAGATTTTAGAAAAATATCGATGTTTTAAGAAAAATTCAACTACAATTTTGAAGTGGGGGGGGTCATTTTAGGAAGGGGGGTCTGGCTGTTTGTGACGGAGGGCAGGGGGGAGGTAAAAGGCGTGACATCATTTATGGATGACCCCTAATTGTGTAGTAGGCTTGTACTTGTACTCTCCGGTGTTTCTTTCAGGTTTCTCTTCCGATTGGGTGGGCCTATCCCTTACCGAACGAAATAGAACTTACCTAGAAAATTTATACTTTTACCTGTGTCCGCCTTTCCCCCTCCCCCCAAAATTTGAAGTGTATTTTCCCCACCCTTTGAAGTAGTTTTGTATTCTGATTCTGTGCTATTGATTTTTTAGTAGTAGGCCTATATGTGTAAGAAAAAAGTAAAGATAGGCGCCATACGCTCGGGGAGGGGGGATCAACCATTTTGTTATAACATTCATTTCTAAAATTAAGAACTTTCTTTTTATGTCATAATCTTAGAAGTTAAATGCCGGACTTTAATTCTATTGCTGCGCCCCTTTGTCTCAACATGTGGGCTAGGCTATCAGAGGCGTAGCGACCCTTCCCGGGGACAAACTTTTCGATTTGCACCCCCCACCCCCCTCAAGATTTCGATTTGCACCCCCCTCAACCTTTCAATTTATTTCTCCAACCCATTTTGGCGCCCCCTAAGGTCGGCGCCCGGGGACATAAGTCGTCCCCCCGCCCTCGCTACGCTACTGTAGGCTATTGCTTTCCCATGCGAGCTTGTTCTATGAAGAAACTGATTCAAAATGTTACCGTAAAAAGGTGTCAAAAGATCACATTCAGCGAAGGGGAGAGCATAATACGTTTAAAAAGCAGTGACGTAGATTTTACGCCTTAGAAATTCTTATTATATTATCTTTCGCCATTTGAAGTCTTTAGCTGTTTAACAGCTGTTCGAGCTGTTTCCAATGCAATATAGGCTATTTACTATTATTTGTTTTTCATTGGGTTAGTGAGAATGATGTGATGGGTAAGTTGAATTTTTTTTCTTTTGATAACGAAAGAAAAACAACCCAAGGCCCATAAATATCACAAAAGAACGTGAAAATAATTGTTTTTTGTCAACGTTTTTAATTAAAAAAGGTAGGCCTACAGAGGTGTAGCTACCTCTCCCAGGGCGAACTTACAATTTGCCGCCCCCCCCCCCCCCTACACACATACACAGACAAAATCATGAGTTGGGTGTGTGTCTTGACTCAATAATTTGTTTATGTATTTGATTCAAAGTGTTTTAAAATTATAAAAAAAAGGTTAGTGTAAAAATGCTTCTTGCCTCTCTTCACTATGACTAGAAGACTGACCTCGTTATCCTTTCCCGACAAAATCGCCAGTTTACGTAACTCTGGCAAAGTTTCTACTAATGGGGAGGTTAACTCCCTTGCTCTCTCTTCTTTCTTTCTCCCCCCCCCCCCCCCCCTGTTTAAATCAGACTTTTAAATTTTTAAATAATTATTGTTTTTAAAACTACATTCAATTGTGAGATCCTGATTTTTTTTAAGGCAGATTTTAAGTCTGACGTTTAAAACAATGAGTCCAAAAAAAATCAATTTTAAAAAAAAATTTTAATGGTTGTAGACTAAAAATAAAAGTTTGTATGGGTGTATATTATATAAATATTCTACACCATTCTGTCTAATACACCTTATTTTCTGTGTTCCTTACTGAATGCCGAGTTTGAGTTTTTTTTACCCTAAAAATGCGATTTTTAAGTAAAATATGCGATTTTTAAGTAAAATAAATATAAATATGAATTTTTAACTTACTTCCTCTGTCGTCATAGATCGAAACGGGCTACCGAAATTTCGAGCACTTCTACTCTCACTGACCGATTAGTTTCAAAGTGGGCGCGTGGGACGACGCATTTCTTTATGGTAATTTAAATAGTAGTGTAGTATTTTATATTTAAAGAAAATCGTGCATTTTCTCCCTTTTAGGGCATTATTAGTAAATTACACTAAAGCTTGTTCTTAAATCGTTTTTTAAAAAAACTTAAAGCCATTTTTCCTAATTTTTTAATGTTATTTGCGACTTCCTTAACACTTAAAATTGTCCTAACTTGTTTATTTCAATTTGGGGGGGGGGGGGGGGGGTAACTTCCCTTTAAGATCGACCGGAATCCATGGTTGGATAGTCACAATCTCCAACCTGCCCTGTATCCAAGGTGTTTTATCTTTGTGTTATTTTTAAAGCTGCATTTAACTATTTATTTTGTTATGGCTATAAATACTATAATATCTTCTTCTTACTTTATTAACCATTATTTGAATTATTCAGTTTATTAGTTCAGACATGGTAAATCTTGTCCTGCGTCAGTCATAGCATTGATATGTTCAATATTGATAGAGGGCTATTTGACAAAAGTATATCTCCCCGTAGTCTCTTATGAAAATTGATTATTATCAGTTTATTTGTGGCCACTTGTAGTAACAAAGCAATTCCTACCTTGAGTTTGCTAGTGTGGAGAAAATGGTGCTAAGGATTTCTATTGGATTTTTTTTCTTTTGGCGGCGAGAGGGTGGGGGGGGGGGGTGTTAGATAATTATGAGATAGGGCAGTGGTCAATGATTGAATTATATATTTTCTTCTTACATTTTTACATTTTTGGACGAGGGAAGAGTGATGGTGGGCATGCTCGGGAAGGGGGGGGATGGAGCAGTGTTTACTAGAGAGATGTCGGAAAGAAACTGATGGTGCTGTGATAATCATGTGAGTTATATTATTCAATAACGGCCACGTAACATTCGCTTGCGTTTCCCGTCAGATCATTTTCCTCTACGCCAGATTATACGGCAGCTGTCTGAGGCGCAACGCTTGGTTGATGCCCAGAGTACAGCAATAGATCTACTGTCATTAGTAGAGTCTGTCCAGCTTAGGTTCATCCTGCATCGTGTACACAACGGAGTCAATGCAAATCAATTAGAAAAAAATATGCTTGAAAGCTTAAACACTGTTGAAAGTTGCTAAAGCACAACAGTTTCTAAAAAATGCATATACATAGTGCTCATACAATGGTAGATCACGTAGAGCCATTCGCGTTATAAACATCTATAAATGTGAAGTTATTAATATATGGTTATGTTGTTATTCTCTGTCATGTACTTTATCGCCTTTGACTAGAGTAGACCAGAAAGAAAACAATAACGTGCACCACAACGGGTACTTGGGTCTGGTGACTTCACTAATATTCTATCACATATACAACAGACAGATACGATTCCTCCGCCTCTAGCGTCAATAAAAAGGGAAAGATCGGTTGTGCTGTACTGTTCGACCGAGCCGTCACATTAGGTAGGCCAAGGCCAAATTAAATGGAAGGGGAGGAATTGATAAAATGCCCCTAATAACAGGCATATACGATTTTAAATAATGTTAATAATATAATAAATGGATAATAAATATTCGTTAGAATACTAGTCTTACAATTCCCATCAATTGACGACACACGTTTTCTTCAATAGTGCATTTTCTACGAATTCTTATAACGTTCTAAATGTTGAACCAAATAGATAGGCTAGGCTCTACAAAAAGTGTAGCATTGTGTCGAGGTAAACCAATCAAATATTGACTTGATCCGGCAGTAAAGGATAATTCCATAAAAAATCAAGAGTGTTTAAATGTTTGTGAATAAAAGGTTCAAACCAGGCAATGTCATGTTCAACAATTGACGATTGTTTAGTTCTTTCCCTCCTTTATTTGTATGGCTAGCAGACGGATATGATTATACGGTTTGCGTAATTATAACGTTTGATTCAACCAGTAGCGTAATAAAGGGGATGGGGGGGGGGGGGGGAGGGCAGTGTAGCGAACTCATCGGATGACGCAATTTAAGGGGTTGATACCAAATGGAACTATAGTAAAATGGACTGCCATAACAAATTCAGTTGAAATAATAAAATAATGAGATAACAAAGCGAAAATACACAATTACCACACAAGGTGACACTCGACCTAGTGACGCCACTGGAGGCAATTATATTAGGCCTACCATAATAATTTAATACGCCAGTTGATTGAATGATTTTGATGATATGACCCACGCATTACAATTAAAAATCAATTCTTTAATTTTGATTAAAACTGATTGAGAATGTTAATTTTTCAAAAACAATTCAATGGCAAATTTAAAAAAAAAAAGAAATTACTTGGAGCTAGGCATTAATCGCCTTTAATTGTAAAGGCGGGTTGTTTTTATTTTGTATTTATTTTATAAAAAATATATCTGAAAGCACATAAAAACATTGCCATCCTGGTATCTTTAGCCATAAGCATCTGGCTGTCCCGCTTAGAGGTCAGGGAAGAACTTCCGTCATGCGTATTTGAGTTTTTCGAGGCTATGGCTTACACATGTGGTGAGTGTAAAACCATATTTCTAATTAAAAATGCTGCTCAATATTGCTTATGTAATACATTTATATGTTAATTTAGTAGCACAAGGCATATGCTTCACTAAAACTATGCCCTGGCTTATAATTTTTGTGTAACTTTTAATAAAAATAGAGGACATTAGGCTACCCCGAGACAAAGTCAAACAGTGAAAAGACGTGCTAGTCATGCTGCCTCTCAGCTTGCTGGTTTTAGATATCGAAGATTTAACATGAGGATTAGAAGATATCTACGAGCCTGATATTAGCCCATTTTTATATATCTAGAACCATTTATTTATTTTTTTCGGCCTTTCAATTCAATACTTTTACTAATTTCATGCAATCTGAATTAAATAATTTAGGATGAGGCCCCAAAATAATAAATATTAGGCCTAATCTAGATTTTCTCCCCAAATCTGAAACTGGATGATTTTAGATACCGATGTCCGATAATAGATTCTTCCAACTTCCATAAAATAGGTGTGTTGGGTTGTTAGTAGTATTGCAATCTTGACTAATTTTATGGCTAGAAATTAGGGTTAGGCATATCGTAGGACTAGGTTTGAGGGTTAGGCCTTATGGTTAGGCACAAGGTTAGCATTGACATTAGCCAGCAATGTGTGTATTTACTATTTAGCTAGTTAACTACCAGTAACCTAACACCCTTTTTTAAAAGAGGATTCTATTATCGAACACTGATATAAAAATCCCCCCCCCCCCCCCTTTAATATTTGTCACAGCTATGAAACGTCACACCTTTCATTAACCATGTTATATCACTCTTACGTTTGAGGCCACTGAAAACCATGAACCCGTTCGACTGTTTTTGGCAATGCACCAGAGTTCCTCACTAGTGATGAACCCGACGATTATAGATACCCATGTCCGATAATGAAATCTTCTTTAAAAAAGGGGTGTTGGGTTGCTAGTAGTATTGTAATCTCGACTAATTTTATGCTTTGAATTTTGCTTAGGCACATGGTGGGACCAGGGTTAGCATTGACATTAGCCAGCTATGTGTGTATTTAGTTACGAAGTGTCTACTAGGAAGATTTTTCTCCCCAACGTCTCCACTTAGTCGGCAAAAGATAGCTCTGCGCATGCTCAGTGACCTAGGGTTAGGGCTAGAATGAGGGTTAGGGTTGGTGTTAGGGTTCTGCGGTTGTAAACACACGCATGCGCAGTACCATAGAAAACATCGCCGCGAAGGCAAGCCGTAGTTTCTCTCCAGTGCGCATGCGTATCTTATTCGGGCTAGCACCGGCCATTTAGTTAACTACCAGTAACCTAGCACCCCTTTTTAAAAGATTCCATTATCAGAAACCGGTGTAAAATTCCTCCTGATGAATCAAATAAGGGTGACTTGGTTTTTAAAAAAATAAAAAGAAACTGGTTGTGATATGAACGCTGGTCTTATATATATATAAAAAAAACGGTTCACAATAGGGCCTATTTGATTTTTTTTCATAGACTGATTAAACTAAAAATGCTTCACTTTCTCTCTCATTTTTGTACATACACTGTGATATTTTTAAAATGGTGATAATTTTAATGAAATCAACTTTTGAATTTAGCCTCCATTTTTGAAACCAAATTTTAAAATGCTTTTCTGGCATATATAGCTATGCCACCTTTGGTTTGTTTTTTATCACGAAAAACCCGCCATATTGCTTGCTGTAAACATTTTAAATTGTAATTCTAAGATGGTCACTGAACTAAGACGAAAATTCGTCGGAAGTCATTCATCCCGTGAGGACGCTATGTTAGCAACCAGCCACGTCTCCAAGCTAACGAGCAATGCTAAGCATTCAATAGGGCCCAGATATCTAATTCTAGAGAATAGAGGTCTTGTTTCTGTGACCTCGGCATGTGAAGAGATAGTGTGGTCAGCACTAAGTCCAGCCGCCTTTACTTTCCCAAACGTGAGTTAAGTACCCATCAGAGTACTCAGGGATGGTCTACCGCTAGGCCACGCCGTCCCATTCCAGTAGAGTTTTTACATGATATTATGATAGCAAACATACATTGCAGTGACCACTTTAGTTTTTTAGCTTATAGAAACTATAAGAAACCAGTATCTGTACGCAATTTGTTCATTTACTAAAACTTTTGTTTTTTCTTTTCTTTCTTTTTATATGGGGGGTGGGGGGATTTCTATACCATTGTCCGATAATAGAATCTTCTTTAAAAAGGGGTGTTAGGTTACTGGTAGAAGATTCTATCATTATTTTGACATTGGGAAATCCACCTGGCTTAATTGGCCGTTGTCTCTATCAAGATATATTTTTTACCCTAATGAATTTTTAAATTAATGAAATTAGTTTAGTAAGACATAATTTTGTATTTGTCAAAACAAATTTGAGTGTTGTCAAAATAGTATTAAATACAGTAGTTGACCTTATGTTCAGCTTGATATTCTCAGCTATTAGGCAAAAAAATGTACAAAAAGCAAGTTTATATCCAACACCAATTATCCATTGTTAAAAGTTATCTCTCTTGATTAATACGCAAAATAAGGATAATTTGTTGTTGAAATGACCAAACTGTTAGAAATTGGAAACCTGGTATCGTTTTTGTCAGTCATTATATATAAAATAGGTAAAGCGACAGCCTACTCTTAAGTGCTGCTCTCTCTGTGCCTCTTTCTATTTCTAAGAATGTAATGTCAATGTTTTTGTTCTCTCTATGCTTCTTTCTGTTATTGATCAGTTGCTTTAAGTTTCAAGTTGTTTTACTATTATTGCAACTATATAATTTTAATTTTTGGAAATCACAGATGCATGTTGAAACTGAGCATAAATAAAGATTGTCATTTACACCACACTGCAATGGCTGCAACTTCTGCTGTTAAGGGTGAACAGGAGTCAGAAAGTAGCCCTTGTGGAACACAAAACAACAACATGCCACTGAAGGCAGAAAAACACCCAGAAAGTTTAAAATCAACTGCTTTGCTAGAAAAACAAAGTATGGCTGATGATAACTCAAAACTTTTAAGTGAAAAGACAGTAAAAGAAGAGCAAACTGTTAAAAAGTTTGTTGATGCTCCAGTGCCAGCCACAAATGCATGGACTAAGAGAAGTGTCAACTTTAGTACTGAGACTTCACAAGTTAATGCTGAAACAAAAGGTAAATTAAAATATATTCCCTGTGATTAATATCTTAGTTAAAAATGTTGTATTTTTTGTGGTGTTCCTATTTATTTCTATATCTTTTAATTCTTCAATTATTTTTAGTTTTAGATCGTCAAAATCCCGAACCTGTTTTACCAGATAAGCAACCCCAGGAAAAATTAAATCTCCAGGGTACCTCAAAAAACATTGCACACAAGTCAAGCAAATTTTCGAAAACTGCAAGCAATCATGATATACATAAACCAGAAAAGCTTAAGGTGGATAAACCAAAAAGTGAATCTAATGGTAATAAACCAGAACTTAATCAATTGCCAAAGATTAAAAAGTTTGGGGAAGACTTTGTGGAAGCACCCTTGCCTGCAGTAAATCCTTGGAAAAAGCCATCAGTTACTAACATTTCTGCAACTGCTCCTTTTGTGGCTGATCAGGATCCTACCCCAGCAGCAGTAAAGAATAAAGAAATAAAGCCAGTGGTGCATAGTATTTCAACAGGTATGTTTCTAGTTTAGTGCTTATATTTTAATCTTTTTTTTTTTATCAACTTGTGACATTCCATGAGTTTAGCTGTTTGTGTGTTTTGTAGCATTTTTATTTATTTTTTATATCTTGGGTTCTGTTCCATTCAAAATGGTATTGTTTCAGCATCTTCTAATCTACTGTCAATTTTATTGCATTTTTCTTTATTAAAACTTTAAATTCTTATTATAAAGCTTACAATCGGTATATTATTTTTTTTTAACAGAAATTCGGGTTAGTCATGGGATCATCCATAAGTGTCACGTCATTTATGACAATTTTCTTTGTTCTTTTTTCATTTCTTTGTTCTGTTTATTATTACTGCATATGTTAATATTTCTAGTTGTGCATAATTTTATTAAAACTTAAAGCCATTTGTTACTGGACACTGATGTTCTTATACTATACCTATGCATATTTGTTTAAATTTAGAAACTTAAAAGTTGCACTTTGTAAAGTGCAAGTTACTGGCTTGCTTTGTTAAAACCTAATCATCATAAACATCAGCACAAGTGTGGCTACTACATTCCCAAAGTTTTATTTACACTGACAACATGCATTATCAGAGTTGTCAAAGAAGGTTAAGAGTGGCTGATTTCTAAATCTTTTTAAGCTGTACTCTTGGAGCTCTCCCAAACTCGCATAGTCACTGAACTATGTTCTCAAAATAAAAAGGTGGGAATCTCTTTTTAAAGTGGTCAAATATTTTTTTTTTTTTTTTTTTGGAAAATCTTGCCTTCTGTGGTTGAGCTAGTATTAAGCTACTGGGTTAGCCTAGTGTTACATCCATACATCCAGGTGACATCATTTGGTTAAAACTTTGGTAAAAAAAAAAGTTTAATGAATGTTGTCAAACTACTTGTTAATTTTATTTTCTGGAACTTTATATAAAGGGCCTCTGTCAATTGGTCTGCCACTACTTTCCTGCATCTATCAAGTTAATCTGTGATTTCAAGGCCTTTATGGACATATTGCTACCTTTTCACTATGGAAAAATATTGATAAAATATGTTGAATGACTGAACAAATTTTAATTGGCATTGTAGGATATCAAAAATATTAGAATACTCTAGGCATACAGAGATAAAAAATGGCATCCAAGATTTTATAATGCTATTACAAGCAGCTACGTTTTCTGTTGTATCTAAGTACTCTTTAAAGTGTCCTGCAATTTGTCTTATTTCTTTTTTTAAACTCATTGACAATTTTAGAAAAACATTTAACTTTAGGTGTATGAACATTTTTATTTTCTAATAATTAAATTTTGGTATTTAAATATAAAAATTATACAAGTGTTTTTTTACACTAGCAAGATATTACTTCACTTCCAATCAGTGGTGTTAAGTGGTATTGACTGTTAAATGTCCCTTTAATTATTTTTGAAAAAAAAAGTGTGCAATGATATTAATATATATTTGAAATAAAAGTTTGTGTGACTTTTAAAAAGTGTGAGCAAAATATGTAGGAAAAAAGCCCAAACAGTTTTGCTTTTCTTGTGGCCACATAGTAAGTCATGATGAAGTATAAATTTTATTTATAATATTTACTTGAAAAATGTCATTTAGAAGAGTGGGTATTTACACAACTTAAATAATGACCAGTGATATTATATAATCTCCCCAATCTAAGTTTGTCTTAAATTAAAGATTTAGGTTAAAAACCACACAATTTAAAAAAAAAAATCACTTGGCTATCTATTTTAAACGGAACGATTTGCCTTCTGTAAAAAAAAAATTCGTAGTTAGTGATAATTAGTGGGGTTTTTGTGCTTATTGTAATTTTGTTTGTTCCCTGTTTGAGTAGTGTTTAGCTAGTACACATTTTAGACCATTTTAGATCCGGTTCTGTTGTCTTCCGCAGCGACTCCCACTCCCCCAATCCCTACATGGCAGACGGCAGCCGTTTGGTCTATGTTATGTACTTTCATTGACCTCGCGATTTGTGTTCATTGATGAATATTATAAATCATAATCATTGAAAGACTGGTCTCGCATGGCCAGTATCTCGATTAAGATTACATTTGGAAAAAAAAAGAAAAATAGCCGTACTTTAAGTCATAGAATGATCAACTGTGCGCAAATGCTAGTGTATTGATTTTTAAAATTATCGGGTTGTGGGTAAAATAAGAGATGCGAAAGGGCGAGACATTACCTTCGGAATTACGGGTAAATGACGAAACTTATTTTTTGTCTTGGTTTTTGAGATAGGGGACAAAGTTTTTAATTAAACAACTAGTCCCACATAGATCAATCACGAGTGTTGGTTTTTTTTTCTTCAAGTAATCTTTTCTTTATATTGATCTAGATCTTATTTAGATCTAGATATTTTCAAGAAAAATGCAAATTCTATTCTCATTAGTTTAGACATCAGTTGTGTCGGCCCATTGCAAACGTCACATCATAAACGATTGCTAGCGATTGTAGTCTTGCAATCTGAATTTCGACGATGTTTTTTAAAATTCTTCGAGGATCTAGCTAGATATAAATTGGAATCGCTATTTGCCCATTTTCTTTAAAAAGAAGCGTAGTGTAAGTGACATAAGCGATTGTCATCATTATACAGTAGGCCTATATACTGTATCAAATGTCTTATTTACCTAATATTAAAAATATGTAATACTGAAAGTTGTGGACAGTAACCATTTGTTACGGAAATCTATGCTTAAGTTATGGTTAGTGTAAATTGTTTTGGGGTAGGCAGTCCTGGGGGATGGGGCTTAACTTTGTTATTATCTTAATATTTATATACACAAATCTCTGCCTCCCACATCTAAAGTTTTTATTGTGAAGCTGGCGGTGTTTTCTTCAGTATTATTTCGCTTTTTTAATCGAGTGTTAAAGTATTTCGAAAATAACAAATGTTGTGACTCGCAGTGTTTATATTTTATACAAGCATTCGTGTAACCACGTGGGCTAAGACTATGTTAAGGAAAAATGAATGGAATATACAAATTGTAAAGCGACGCTAATGCCCTCTTTGAATTTTAAAAGTAAATTGTGCGCAGGCAGCAATTTCAATTAGCAATATTTTTTTTTGTTTTCCTACTCTTTAAAAAAACTCGTGGTATTATTATTTAGTTTCTACTCCAGTTTTCCTATCATAATACCCTCCGTGGTTTCGGGGTAATTAAGTAGAAATTGAACTGGTAGCACATTTCCCCCGTCACCACCGCGACCCCCTCATCCACGTTGACCTCAATGCTATCCGCCTGTGTGTAGCGCTTGGCTCAGCTGATATGGCGTGCGCTTCGCCGTGGCTTGACAGATGTGACTGCGGCGGAAAACGAAGTGTCTCCGTGTCGTGGTCGCCTACTCGTCTCTTCGCGGATTTACATAGCCGAGTTGGCATAAGTAGTCTACAATGATTCAGTCTGTTTGGATGCGTTTGGGTATTGTTTTAATTGCTTTCCCCTTTTAATTATCGCAAACATGTTTGTTTATATATCAAATTAACGTAGAAGTTAAAGTTCAAAATGGGTATTTGCTAAATTGCTTGTTTTCGCTAATTCTTAATGATTCAAAGCACGAGGTGCACCTCAACATATGGTGAGATTTCTAAACACGAATGGTGTAGACTTTAGATGTTAGAAATTTTGAAAAGCTGTTTTTCATTGTTATCATTAAAAGAAAGACAATAGACTGGTTATACATTTTTAAAATTGTCCAATCAAGGTTCAATTATAGTATATGCTGTTGGTAGACAGCATAACAGAGAACATACTGTTTTTAGGAAAATAGGATTGTATATAGTTAACCCTGTTATGTAAAACAAAGTGAGATCAGTTCATTTCATAATCCCATAAATTAATGAGGTGATTTCTTGCACCTAAGTATTTGACAACTATTATTTGTATATAGATGTATAAGCTTCAATTGTAAATATAAATAATTTATAATTTATCTGTAGATCCTACAAAAGAAGCCAAACCACCAGAGAATGCCTCGAGTGAGCCTGTATCTAATAAGGTTTGTAAAATGAAGCTTTACATGTAAATTATTTTAAGTTATCTGCTGACTGCCTGAGTCATTGATTTAGTGTGCCCGTACAATTTTTATTTGGCACTTGTTAAATAATTGCATTGGCACACATAATGGGAGGCTATGCGTAAATCATAGCACCTTTTTAGATTGTTTTCATGATCAGCAAACATCTGTTTTTTATATACCAGTCAGTGCCTATTAAATTTTGACCCCTTATTTACTTTACAGCTAGTGTTGTAACAGTTACCAGTCATCTAAATCTTTTTTTAAAAAAAGTTATATTTTATTACAAGTTTTGATCAATTTCAATTTCTTTGAGGAAAGTCTCCTGTAGAGGATTCTCATTAAGCTAGTTTACTCAGTTCGAATTTGATGCACATCTGTGTGCAATTCTTCTTACTCAGTTAGTCTGCTAACTACTAAGCATATTTCATAGCAGGCTGTAATTGTATCATTGGTGTGAACTAATTTTAGCTAAGCTATCAAAGAATTTATTCATTAATGACAGCTGCTTTACTGCAATACTTAAGCTGCATTCTTTATTTTTTAAAATTCAACCTTCTGTAAACTATTTCTTCTCCCTTTTTATTCAGACTACTGGGCCAGCATTAGTAGATGACAACTGGCCAGCCTTGCATGAAGTTAAAGGTCCAGAGGTAAGTTTCTAGTAATTAACAAAATAATTTTTACATTTAAACAGCTTAAGGGTATTTTAAAGGTTTTTATCTAAAAATCAAGCAACAATTATTTTTTCAGCAAAATCAGACAGTGCCGGCTAAAGCTTCCAAATCAAAGGTCAAGACAACTTCTTCGGGAAGTACACCTTCCACAACACCCACTGCAACTATTCCATCTGGACCCCTCCCTCTTTCTTCTGGTGGTGGGGACTCTCTTACAGTTAGTAAGGTTGAGGTGCCCAACAAGCCAACAGATGCTAGTCCAGCTACGGTAAATTGTTTGCTCATTCACTTTAGGTTTGTTATAACTTAATATATCTACTGTCTGCCCAAAACAAAAAATATGTGGCAGTGTCTCAATATAAATAGGTCTCAAAGATTGTGAGAACATAGTTTTCATTTTTTAATTATCTTGTTGTAGGTTCAGGTGCAAAGTGATTCAGGTGGAGATGATTCTTCAAAAGAAAACAAAGAAACATCGAATGGGGATGAATCAAATAGTGCAGTTAAAACAAAGAAAGGTTGTTATAGAGTTTCTTTGTGACAGAATGTATAAATTATGTTAACACATTTTAAGCGTTTGTGTTATAACAGAACTAAAAATAAATCTGCTATCATTTCACAATTTTTATTAAATTGAAGTTATGTTATTACCTCAGGAACGAAACCAAAATGGCAGAGAATGGAAATTGAACATCCAAAGCCTGATCGTCGTAACAAGAGAAGCAGAAGTCAAGGAAGGCGTTTCTCACCCAATCGTCGAGATGGCAAACGAGCGGGTGAAAGATTTCGCCCAGACAGCAGAAGATCGGATGGTATGTGGTCCTATAAATTGGTAATTAGGTAACTAGTTTGTAACATGACAGACATGTGTTTTTTTGTTTTTTTTTTAAATTTTGTTTACTCCTTTCCCACAGTTGGTCCAGACTCTCAAAACTGGCGAGAAAACATGCTTCCCCTTAGTAATACGGGCGCAACCACATCTAGCAGCACTGAAGTAAATAGAAACAATAGTGGTGGAAATTTCCTTGGTGGAAGGGGGAGTAGAGGCCGTGGTGCAAATCGTGGAAATTTTCGTGGTCGTGGCGGGCGTGGTAGAGGTGGACCACGTGATACCATGTCTCCACCATTCCAAGGTATGTTAATAAGTTAGTTTGATACGCTTTTTAAATCTAAGAAAATCTTGCATTTGTTTCAGCTTGTATTTTTTTTTAACAGATTTGATTTTAATTTTATAATATAGTTGTGTGAATGTTTGTTTCCATAACCTAATGCATGTTAAATGATCAATTGCTTGATTTTTCAAACATCCTCGTCTGTCAACAGCTTAAAATAAAAAATATACACTTTAGTAATCAGTTTTCAAGGTTTCCCCCAACTTTTTATATTTCTGCAATAGCCACTTCTAACAACTGGAGCCCTGACCAGGCATTTCCCGGTATGCCGACAGATCATGATTCAATACAAGGTTCCTTTAATTTTACTTATGCATTTCTCTTATTACATTTTTTTTTGGCTTTGGTAAAATTCTTTTACTTGTGTTAATCATTTTTAATACCTATCAATAAAGTGTAAACCCACTTTATAACAACGGGTATTCCCAAGACAAGCTTCATAAGAAACAGCTATTCAAAGTACTTAATGTAAGACATTTATAGGAAATAATGGAATGCGAACCCCTGTTCAATTGGAAATCCACACTGCATATGCAATTTAGACAGTATTGCATGAAACAAGTTTAACCATTCCATGGCTTTTTCTACACCCCTCCCTACATAGTTTAAATTAATTAGTTTTAAGTCCTTTTTTACATTTTTATTTAAGGTCAAGATCTTTAAATATTTTTCTTGCATCACAATTTTATTGACAAATTGGATATAATGTGTGGGTTTTACATATTTTTTCCCCTTTTCTTAAATTCACCTTGTCAACCCTTAGTTACACTTCTTAATAAGGTTGAGGTATTTTTATTTGCACACATTGCAGTATATCGTCACATTTGTATTGAAATAATGTGTATTATACTTCAGTGTGCTAACTAATACAACCTATGATTTAATAATTGCAAGGGTATTTCTAAGCTTTGGTTCTTTTCTACTCTAGCAGCCACATGGAGTGCAGGCTTTAATCAGGTCCAAACTATTCCCCGTGTACCTCCTATAAATCCAGCAGGTTAATATATACATCCTTTTTAAATTTGCTTTTGGTGTATTTCTTTTTATTCAACTTCCTTGGTTATTGCTATGACCATCCATATATTTATGTTTTAACATACGTTTTTTATTGACACATCCAACCTTATGGGGGGAAAATGTATTAAAAAGCTGATTAAATACATGTTGCATTTATTAAAAAGTTTATTGATAATTTGCCCTAATATGTACTATGTAGTTTTGATTGATCTGTTACATAGTTATAATCTACCAAGAAGTTTAAATTTACACAATGCTATGGTATTTTGCATACATCAGCTTATGCAAATTCTGTATTTAAGATAATGCACAATAATCAAGTACCAGCATATTTTACACAACTGCTAATTTGTTTCTTAATGTAGTAATCACACTCCAAATAGTCCATGTAGTTTCTTTTTGCCACTTAAAAACTGTTGACAGTTAAGCAACCTAAAAGAATGTAAAAGAAAAAGACAGAACTTCCGAATTGTATTTAGTAAATTTCTGTGTGCCAAATAAATATGTTTGGATGTTTTGACATTTAAAGGATCTGTGCATTTTCAAGCTTATGGTATGTAATAATTTTGACCACAAATTTGGCAACTAATTTTACCTGTTATAATCAGTTCAATGTTAATGACTGATTGTTGTTTTACACTTAGTAACTTATCTATTTAATTTTTAAAATTTTTGTTAAATTGTCACACTCAATCACAAAATATCCCCTTTTTAAAAGTTGGAAGTGTATACTTGTTCTTAAACTAATCAACCAGTTTTTCTGTGTATAGATTGCAAATTTAAAATTGACAATTAATTAGCTGTGCAATGCAGAAATACTTGATTAGTATTTTATTTCTGCGAAAAAAAATGCTTTGATATAGTTATTGTGCTGCAGTTTTTTTTTTTTAAAAGTTGGCAGGTTGTTGAAATAATTTCCCCATTAATTTGTTGCCTTCTATTTTAGCTTTTTTTTCTAAAGTTCTCAACATAATTAAATAGTTATCCCTATTATATATAGAATATTATTTGGTATTGTCACATTTAGATGGAGTGATGTATTTAAGATTATGGCATCATGGTTTCATTACTTTCTAACAAATGATATGCATTTTGTATGAGTCAACCTTTTTTCCACACCCCTTGCATATTGTTAAAATTCTTTTTAAAATGTTTTCTTTGTATGTTAAAACAAGCAACTAAGACCTATTATTTTGAAAGGCTTAGTTAATACTAAGGCAGTTGGATGTAAGTGAAGTATTAAGTTCTTTGTGTACTTTTTGTTAGCAGCTCAACTTATGGTCATCATTGAATTTCCAGCAACAATTTGTGAAGTTTTTTTTTTTTATTACATGGTCAAATAATTGTCTATTTTTCTTTCATTTTTAAAATAGTGATGCTTGGAATGGACCCTAGTATCTACATTCAAGATGCTTTGCTTAATATATTAGGACAAGCCTCAATGTTTTATGAGCATCCTCAAAACTCATATCCTCCTGAAACATTGCAAAACCAAGTGTAAGTTTTAAAATTGTGAATAGCTTCTAGAGGTTATGTTATTCTCAGTGCCAAAGTTAGTAACAGTTTCTTATCTCCACAGAGAGTATTACTTTAGTGAAGAGAATCTTGTGAAAGATTTGTTCTTGAGGAAAAAAATGGATGAAGAAGGTTGGGTAAAGTTGGAACTTGTTCTGAGTTTCAATAAAGTAAAAGAACTGAAAGCTGATCATAAAAGTTTAATACAGGTTAGTGATTACACACTGATTAGTATTATTTTTCATTACTCCTGGGAAAAATAGCCATTCTCATCATTAAAATTTACATATAAAAGTTTGCCTTAAAACAGTTCTTTGATTCCTGTTTTTAAGAGATAATTACTTGTGAACTTTTCAGTTTCTTTGGAAGTCCAAAATTTATTTTAAAAGGGTTGCCATTTAAACTGATCTATTTATATTTTTAAAATGCATATATTGAGTCTTTATATTTTTAAAATGCATATATTGAGTTAATATGGTTAACAAAAAATATTGTTTCTTCTAGAGTAGTATTTTTAAAAATAAGTCAAAACTTCTTTACACCTATAGACCTTAGGCCAACTATCCTTATAAAATTAGATATATTTACTTATCTATTACCTCTACAGATTTATTTGTATTTGTTTCAATATAGGTTATCAGATCCTCAACTAAGTTGCAGTTGTCAGAAAATGAAGATTTTGTAAGAACTGTGAATTCGCCAGAAGTATGGCCAATAAAGGATGACCTAAAAGGGCTTCCACCACCACCAGCCGTCCAAAGAGTAGCAGCCATGTCGACATTGCATTCTGATGCACCAGAATTTGTACCAGGAAAACCATTTGTGTTGAGAAGTTTAACAAGTGATCCTCAGGACTTTGTATTGACTTCTCAAGGTTTGTTCACAAATAACTTCTGCATCACATTTTTACCTGTATTCTCATTTGAATTAAATTTGATCTCACTAATTATATTGCCTGTAATTTCGGGGGGGGGGGGGGTCATTAGGAAAATCATAAGAAATTGTTTAACAACATATTTCCCATTTCTGCCTGTATCTTCAAAATCTCTTTAACAAGACTTCCAATACTACGCATAAATAAACATACATTTTTCGGGTGACTGTGAACACACTGGACTACCACAAAAATTTATCCTGGTGGCAGCAGGCAAATAGGACTGTAACGACTAATTACATTGCTTGTAATTTTAAGGAGATATTACAAAATTTAACCTTTTAAACACAGACTCTAAATGCTTTTTCCATGCTGTACTGCCAACATTTTCAAATTTTTTGCTCAGAATAATTGATTAAAAAATCCATGCGCATTTTAAAAAAAAATGTTTAATTATCATTCACAGAGAAAGATGGATACTGTGCATTACTTTTAATTACCATATAGTAAATATTTTAATTTAAAAAGCTGCATCAAAATTATAATTTAAAAAATGACAGACAGAACGGGTGTTTTTAGGTGCATAGGACTGTACCACACCAGTAAATCTTAGGTGCATTTAGCCGCATGGTACTGTAAAGGGTTAAGTAAAACTTATTAATGCTTTTGTCGGTATTTTCAAAATATCGTTACAATGCAATAATTAATTTACTACAAAAAAAGTTCATGTACATATGGGTACTTGTAACTGCACTAAGAAAAATCTGGTTAATTTGACGCATTGGACTGTAAAAGGTTAATAAAATACCTTCAGCAAGCTGATAAAATAATTTTAATAAGATTTAGATGAGTCTCGTAATAAGAAATAGATCTTAAAGAGGACTGTTCTTCAAATAAAACTAGAATTTTTTAACCCTTTGAAAGATTTATGTACATTGCAAAAAAAAAAAAAAAATTCCAGATGGGAACTAATAGTGAAATATGTATGGCTGTATGTTTAAAAATAATTAAAACCATTTTTTTTTTTAAACTTGTGATTTTCCAGGCACTGATTCAAGAAGTGCTGGACACAGATGGTCTCAGGCAGATGATGATGAGGACAATTTTCTTTGCGATGCTGCAAGTAATCTAACCACAATTCCACCAATGCTTTCTTCAAGGTAACTGTTTTGATCAATTATCTTAGGTAATTATTTGTAGTAATGCTCATCAGCTAGAACTAACATTTTTTTTTAATAACTTGAAGCTACCTCAGTTTGTACTTATGAAGTAATTACTGCCAATCACTCATAACAATAAGCAGACTTTAAACAAATTGGATCTTTCAATTTCAGTGCTCCACAATTATCAATTGATGAATGGCAAACAGTGCAGCATAAAGCCAAGAAAAAGGAAAAAAAGGGTGTGGAGAAAGAAAAATCAAAGGTAAAATGTATGCTAACAGGTTGCTTATTGCTGTTTATTATTGTGCTACATGAAACTTATAACTTGAATTCTCAATTTTTTTTAGAATGAAGAGGCTAAAGTAGAGGATGACCGTGAAGAACTTGATTTTATGTTTGATGAAGAATTGGATAATCTTAATGTTGGCAGAGCTAACAACTTCACTGATTGGTAAGTATTTTTCCTGTTTTCAATGCCAATGATGGTTGTTTATTGTAATATTGAAAACATCTTTTATGCTATTTTTAGGTCTGATGACTCTGGTGATGAAATTGATGATAATGATGTTGATAAAATTTTGATTGTGATGCAAACACCACCAGCTCTACGTAAACATCCGGGTGGGGACAGAACTGGCGATTATACTAAACGTTCAAAAATTACAGCTGAACTAAGCAAGGTTATCAATGATGGCTTGTTTTATTATGAGAAAGATTTATGGGACAATGAATTAATGGTAAGTTGTAAAATATTAAGGTGCCATAATGTATTTGTTGGAAATGTTTATTTTAATTGCTTTAAGGTAAGTTGTCACTTTTAAAGTTCAATACATTTTTGCTTCAGAGTGATTTTGATTTTAAAACTGTTAATGTGATAAGCAAAGAGGAATTTGACAAAATTACGCCATCTAAATCAACTTCCGAAGTTGAAGAACAAGAGCTACCTCCACCACCACCACCACCAACATCAGGTAAATAATTTAAATTTGTTTTAATGCACTTTTTGGGAAATAAGTTCTTCATATTTTAAAAATAAAATTAGTCAAATGATACATATGCATACCTTTTATTTTTATTCCTTCAGTTCATACAGAAAGCCGCAAGGTTCCTAGTCCACCATCTTCTCAAACAGGTCATGTTGATGTGGCAAGGTCATTGCCAGCTTGGGTTCCAGATACACCAGGTAGACGTGAGCAAGGCCCACGAACTCCAAGGCATGATCGCAAAGAGCCTAGATTTTATCCAGTAATAAAGGATCCAGGTGCCCCAAGAGATCCACAGGTGTGTATGTACTCTAAAACTAAGATTCATTTAAAGTTTTGTACTGTAGAAATATTTTTTACAATATTTGTAATTTCTGTAGACCCCTCGTAAGAAAAAGACCCGCCACAGCAGCAATCCACCCATCGAGTCTCATGTAGGATGGGTCATGGATAGTAAAGAACACAAAGTTCGTTCCAGACATAATTCATCCTCCTTGTCTATGCGATCCTCCAGGTATGAAGTGAATTGAAAGTATTTTTATGAAGTAGTTTATATTAATTTCTCTTTAATTGATAAAGCCATTAATCAGAACAATCTAAGGGTTTTTAATTTAATCATGCGTGTTTAAATTGGATGAAATATTAGTTCATTCTGTTTTCGTGGAATTATACTGCAGTTAAGTTTCAAATTATCCTGTTTGCTGCGGCAGCCATGTTTACTTAAAAGCTGTGCAGAACACTACATGGAAACTACTTTTTATAGTGTGTATTAACGTTATCTTTTTAGTTTGTAGATTTCTCAATTTTCACGAATGTTTTGCCAAATCTGGATCATATTTTTAAGTCTTGTAGTTTTTTCCTGTATTATTGATATTGTGTTCTATAGAACTTATTTTGTGTAATACCACTTGCAAAACATATAGAGATCCTTTTCTGTGTTCATGTCCAAACAGCTAGATGTACTAATCCAATCCATGATTTTAGTAGAAAAATGGACATACTTTTGCTTTATTTTGAAAAGAAATTACGAGAGAAAAAAAATCATGTGTTCCATTACAAGTGTATTTTTCCCCTGCTAAACTCTACACCTTATTTCCTTGTTAAAAACAAATTACTTTTTACATTAATTAAATTATTACTTAAAATTTATATAGTGTGGAAGGCATTAACTAATAATTAACTTGTATCAATTTTCTCTGAGTTTTAAACAAACTGGTAAAAAAAGTTGTGATCCATTTTGCAATGTAGACACTGAAAAACATGGAACTTGAATATAATTTTGGTCTGAATGAATTAAAGAATTTTTTATGCCTTGCGGGCTAGTTGAATATATATTCTTACATTTCAATTTAGTCCATCAGACAGCCAGCTTGCCTCCAGTTATGGTTGCACACCTGTTTCGATGCCACACTTTGAACATCCATCACATGAACTCTTAAAAGAAAATGGATTTGTCTGGCATGTTTATAATAAATTCCATTCCAAGTGCCTTAAAGGTAAACACTTTGGTCTAGCAACAATATCAATCACGGTTAACCACTAAATTTAAGGTTGTGATTTATTAATGTCAATATATAATTTTAAAATCTGAAAATCTAATTCTCTCAATTTAGAACGCAAGCGTCTAGGTGTTGGGCAGTCCCAGGAAATGAATTGCCTCTACCGATTCTGGTCCTTTTTCTTGCGCCAGCACTTCAACAGAAAAATGTATCATGAATTCAAAACTTTAGCTGTTGAAGATGCCTCCAAAGGCCACAGGTAATTTGTTTTTTAGCTATTGTTTGTTACTTCAGCAGATATTTTATGACTTCTTTATTGATACTTTATATATCACTATTTTTAAAAATGTATACAAAATATACTGAAGATGTTATTTTTAAAAAAATTCATGAGGTTTTTAAGTAACTATTTGTTGAAAGACCAGGAATTGAAGTTCAGTTAATACAAAGATTGATCCAAATAATGCTTTGATTAAAATTGAATATTTAAGCTAAATTCCTTTACACATTTTCTGTAGGTATGGTCTAGAGTGCCTTTTCAGATACTTCAGTTATGGTTTGGAGAAACGATTTAGACAAGAAGTCTTCCAGGACTTTATGGAGGAAACCATGAGAGATAATAAAAATGGTATTGTTGGTTTTTGTCATAGAAAATAAGCTTTGATTGAAACTCCAAAACTGCTGTCCAAAAATAAATTCAGCATATCATTTACATTTTCTTTTTTAGGTCAGCTATATGGACTAGAAAAGTTTTGGGCTTTTCTTAAGTATTCCCGTAGGAGTGTTGATGTGCATCCAGAACTTCAAGCAAAGCTTTCTCAGTTCAAAAAGCTTTCAGACTTCAGAATTGATGTAAGTTTTATTTTACAAAATGTAGAATTGAATACCTAAAATTTAATGAAAGAAACCTCCAAAAAGAAATAAACCTCCAAATAGAAATAAACATTTATCTTTAGGAAGATGACCAGAACTCAAGCAATGCTGAAAGTGCCAGTACATCAGCATTGAATAAATCAGCACAATCAACTCAATCTCAACCATCAGCTGATGTTTCATCAAGTAAAGGCAGCAATACTACCATACTCAACAAAAGCTAGTTATGTAGTAATAACACCTGATTTGGCACCAGCATTTCTATCAGGCAGTTTTTAAACATTAGATGGGATCAGTTGGAGGCTAAACTTATGAAATAATAGTTAAAATTTTATGGGTTTACTGCTAATTGTTTATGTAATTAAAACCCATTGTTAATATTGAACTAAGTATTATGCAATTGTTCCTTGTTGCTGTACCCTTAATTTGTTTAGCCCATTAAATGGAAAATGCAGGGCTGTGAAGTGAAAGTTGATATACACCTGCATTTCTTATCTTTCTATCAGAAACAAGACTGATGATTTATTGCTTGATAGCAAATTTCCAGTCACGTTTGTATTTTGTAACAGGCAAAAAAAAATTTCCTTTTGTTAGTGTACATTTGTTTTCAGTGTTCATTTTTCTTGTTTTAAAAATAGCAAAATACCAATATTTGTTTTTACAGTCCATTTCAAAAATCTATTCAGAGGGAAGATAATCTTTTTGTTGGATATGCAAGTGTGATCACTAGCTTCCACAGTCCTGTAAGGGATTTAAGTGTTTACAAAAATTTCTTTGTACATAACTTGTTTAATGGAGGAAATATTTAAACATAGCATAAACTATTGTCCAGAGCTGGATTATTAACTGATAACTTAAAGTTCATGCTTTTTGCAAGAGTAAAAGAAATATTGAATGTGATAATTTAAAATGGACTGCTGAAGAAAAAAATGAGTACAGACACTTAATTTTGAGAATTCCATTTTACCATGCAAGCTAACCAAAAGGTTCAGTGTGGACATGAAAGTGATTCCCACTGGATGTCGATCTTTTCAGGTGACAACAGCCTACAATAAAACTTTTAAAAATTCAGTGGTGTTACTAATTTAAGCAGGACATATAAACTTTTATTTATAACAGCATAGCATATTTTTTTTTTAGATCTGTGTTCATTTTAACTGCTTAACTTACTGATTTTTAAGTTTTGTAGCTGAATTTTTCTCTTCTTTTTTAGAATAATTTAAACTGTAATTGCACTTTCTAAAGCATTAACTCAGTAAATAAGTTCATACCACTTGGAAGCTTTGATTAAGGAAATTGTATATAATGTATGTTTTTGCAATTTCATTTTGTGTTGGTTGTAGGATTTTTATCAGATTTTTTTTTTTTAAAGATTCTTTATAATGGTAGCAAGATAATTAAATTTAATGGACTTGATAAAAGTGTTGTTGCATTAAGAAAAAGTTTTTATATTAAAAATTTTATGGAATATTATAGTTCGAATTTGAGATTGCACTAATTTTAAATTTGAATATTTAATTTGAGACTGCTAATAGTGTTAAATGTATGTATGCTGAGCAAATAAATTTGGTGTGATGTTGCTAGACCGAAATTATACGTAGACCTAATAGGAGTAAACATTTAAACGTTTTTTTCTATGTTCAAATCATTTATTTAAATTTCACATTTTCACAATTATAATGAAAGCAGTAAAGTAGCTTTCCTGTTACACAGCAATTACAAATACAAGTCTATGGAAAAAAAAAACCCACAGAAATGTTACATGAAAAGATACTCCAGCTGACTGTAAGCTTGCTTGTTTTTTTTTCTAGACATGCAAGTGTTAGATGTTTATTTTTCTGAGCTACAGAAGTGTTTTGTCATGATTTTTAATGATAATGTCTATGCCTGTCTATTTGGTTAGTCACATTACTAAAAAAAAAAAGTTAATTTTTGTAATGCATAATTGTTGCATTACATTGTTTTTTAATTGTTACTTTGTAACTATACAATGTTTAATTTTATTTCATGTTTGTAAAAAAACAATATATTGTTTAATTTTTAAAAAAAAAAGCTACTGTGTCTCAATTTTAAATTTCCAAAGTATGCCATATTCTCAGTAAATTTAATCAAGGATTATTATTATTTTTTGAATTGTAAAGAATATGAATTTTTTTGTTTTCTAGTAACTTGTTTACTAAAATAGTTGGTTTAAACTACCACAGACAGGTAGTAAGTTGATTGAAACATTTTAAATTTACTTTTCGGGTTAACTTGAATCTTAGAGCCAGTTTCATTTAACTATGCATCAGTTAAATGTGAAAGAAATCGTATCAGTTCTTCTATATTATTGGCATTAGATTAATACTGTTGAGTTAATAACATTTAATGTAATATATTTTTTTGTAAATATTATATTATATTTTGATCATGAATCATGTTTCCATAGACCTACAAAAATATTAGTGTTGTTGTGATTTCATGATTATTTGTAAATCAGCCTTGTCACTTCCCCTATTGTGTGTGTGCTGATCTTATTGTTTATTGGTAAAGGATCATTAAACAAAAGGTTACGGCAGTAGGTGAAATTTAGTTGTCATGTTATATCACAGATGCTGTTAAAACAGTTAATCCATTAGGTTTAGTTGCTCTAATTTAGATATTTGGTCTTAATAATTAGAAATCTACTAGTTATAATTATACTTAAATTAACACTCTATAAAAATACTGAGGCATCCTTGTGTTCATTATTTTTAGCAAGCTAATGTGTTTGCTATTGTCAGTAACAGTTAAGGTGAACATACCTCATGCTGCTAAATGGGTTTGCAGAATAGAAACAGATTTTAGACAGCTGGGCTGTCTTTTATGCAAAGTTACAGCAAGAGATAAACTAAAACATTACTTGCAGTGTATATATTTTGTAAAGTAGTTATATTTTCTGTAACTTAAAAAAAACTAAAGAGACCGTAAATACTTATTTTAATCAATTCCATAATAATTTTCCCAAATTTCTTAACAATTAATCTGCTTTATAAATGCAACTGGCATATTGTTAAAGAATTATAGAGAAGAAAAACTTGCTGTCAAGAAAGGCTGATAATACTGATATACAAGTTCTCAGTGTGGAACACCCATTTGTAAAGTCTTTTAACCATGTTACAAAAACAATGGGAAGTTGGTATTTCACCTTAAAATATTAAATGAGTTGCATGGTTATCAATGTTTAGGAGGTTCACTCATTTTCCAAACACTCAAGTTCTGCAACATCTGTCAGTAGTTGTGATTGAAATAAAACCTCACTTCAATAGAACAAGTATTTGTACTGGTTCATGGTTATTGTACATGCTGTTTTCCCTAACGATCCTCCCCCATTTGTAAATTATAATCGTGCATCTCTTTCACCATTTTTATTCCAGCTTTTGAAATTGTACTGTTGTATTTTAAAATGATGTTCAAATGCTAATTCAATTTTTTTCAAGATGGCTATATGGTTATTATTAGACTTTTACTTCTCATTATGGGGAAGGGATCCACGATCATTTGAATAAATTTTTTTTTCAAATTTCTACGTTTTATTTTTATTATAAGCAGTGTTGTAAAAGTTTTGGACAGAAAAGAAAACAAAGCACGAGTTAAATAAACTATTTATTTCACTTTTTAAGAGCAGTGTGTTATTTACATCAAAACTAATATTTTTTTTAACTGCCTAGAGTAATGCTCTATATATCAAATCTTTCAATTATTTTTTTAAACTATTGGTTGGGCTTGGTAATTAAGGTTCACTGAAGGTCTACCTACACATTCTGCTGCAGTTTAGTTATGCATGTATTGGTATGTCAGGACTTAAGTCACCTATGAACACATGGAAGATGATAGATGAAATGTTCAATTTTTACATAGGAAAGATGACAGGAGCAAATATACATTCTTTATAAAATATTGAACAACTACTACCAAAGAGACGATTAAGTATTATGCAGCCTAATGACTGTGCAATAACTTGATACCATCTGGTTTACTAAACGTAACACAAACTACTCATGCATCCACATCTAATGTTTCCCAAAGCTATACAACATAGTAATGTACACTGCAACACATATAACATGACATAGCTATTTAAAAAAGTATCTGTAAGGACAATATAGCTACTAGGGGTGATCAAGGAAAGAAAAAAAAAGAGTTCTAAAATTAGTGATGCTTACATTTTTTTGAGGGAAAACTAAAAAAGAATTGTAACTATTTTAGAACTGTTTTTATTAATAAAACTCTAAAAAAGGAATTTTAATTATTGCCAAACTTTCTGCAATAGTCTTTATTTAGTTCAGGACCGCTTGCGGTTTAAGTTTAAAAAAAGTATATATTCTAATAATATTCCAGTTCTTTCCTACTCAATCCTTAAGAAAATACACACAATTATTTAAATAGGTAATTTCTACTGTTTAAAAAAGTAAATGCTATTAGTTCTTTCAAATGTCTTTAATGTTAAAATAAGATTCAACAATACCTTAAGAGTAAAAAGTGACAAAATGAAAAAAATGTAAGACCACTCAAAATGAATGAGAACATATACACAAAATACTTGATAGAGTATTAATCTCAAATATATTCGGACACAAATTGATATACATCAATGTGCATTTGTACAACTACTTTGTAAATAAAGTTAATGAAACGGACATAAAAAATGTTGGATTTAAAAAGCAGCTATAAAAATTAAAATAAAGCTATGTTTGTGTCCATTAAAATGATTTTCTACTTCTGGTTAACATTTCTAACAATGAGGAAGACAATATTTACATCAATGTAACTGTGATAACCCTTTGTTTAGATTCAGATTCAAGTAAAAAGACATTGAACCATATGTTACACACAAAAAAAAAAACAATTTTAAAATCGCACCAGAAAAAATTTAATTAAGTCTTTTTAATCATCACCATGAACTTGTAATCACATAAACTACAGCCGATAAAATTTTAGGTCTTCAATAGAAGAATAAAAAATTATATATTTTTTACAACATAATACAGTGACCTTTGGTGCAACAATATAGAAAACATGCTTTAAAATGTATTCATGCAACTAATAGTTGAATAGTAGTAGTTAAGTAGCTTTGAATGCCAGGACTAAGTTCAGGTAGACAAAACATGTAAAATCATGTTACACAGCATGAATAAAATACATAGCAGATTAAAACATTTGAACCTTCTGCAGAAACATATGTTCTTAACATGGTTGATAACTATTATACCATTTCATAGAAACACTTGAAATTCATGCAACATCTTTTGTTCATTTTAAGTACACAAATGTTTCATAAAACCATAAGTACTGCATAAATACAAAGATCACATTTAATGATCAGGGAACCCAGCTTTATAAAAAAGAACACCATCCCCACGGTACTCAACCATTAAACATTGAAAACATGGAAATAAAAAATAAACACAAAAGATATTAAGTACCCATGATTGTTGCAATCAACTATTTTTAAAATTGTATAGTCAATAACTTGTTCTGCAGAAGACAAAGCTATGTTTGGTTTTAGGGGTAACAAAAAAATTTCATTACATTACTATACAATAAAAACATTGCATGTTAATAAAATATAAAAAAATTTAAATGGTGCTTGCAATAATTTGAGATGGAAGAGAGAACAAGTAATATAAAAATGATAGGGGGGAGGGGGGGTCATGACATTGATGAGATGGGATTCATAGGAGATCCCATTTGTGTAAGTACTTTGTCTAACCACTGCAGTGGCCCATTCAGGTGCAGCTCAATCCAACAGGGCGTAGATGTCACATCCTGTCTGTGGTATTCTGCTCCCCAGCCTTTTACAAAGCTCATACGAATGATGCACATTTTGTTTAATTCATACACAGCCTCAAAGCCATGATTGACTGACTGGGACAACAAGGCAGCAAATTCCTGGGGAAAAAAAATTTCTCCTGTTAAATAGCTTTTTTTCAAAAACATAAGAAATATTCACACAAAAATAATTGAACATTTGATCATATTTGATTTTTTTTTCTAATAAATTAGATAAATATATGAAACCTTTACAGCAACAAGCTTTTAAATACATTGAAAATCTATATATATAAAAAGAAATGTATGTGTGTGTATGTATGTTTGTCTGTTTGTCTTTTATGCATTATTACATCTTTCATCTGATCGCATAAAACTTTGAGAAGTTGTTGAGAATACTCCTGGGGAGGTATCAGCAAAAAATAAAATTTTTAATTCGCAGGGGTGGCTCCTTGGCAGGGCGTAATTTGATTCTTCTCTATATACCACATAAAAATTAAAGTCGATTGTGGTTTGACACCGTTCATTTGATCGCCATGAAACTTTGGGGAGTTAATTAAAAGACTCCATGGTAGGTTTCTGCAAAAAATTCCTTTTAATTTTGCAAGGACGGCACCCTGGGTAATTTTTTCTCTCTATACGTATAAAAAATAAAAGTCTGATGTGATTCGACTTCGTTCATCCAAGTGCCATGAAACTTTGGGGAGTTAATGAGAATACTCCAAAGGTGTCTGCGATTTTTGTCTATACATCGATTGGCATTAAGAGTTCCAGAGCATTTAGCATCCAATAAAGGGGCGTCCTGCATTTGGTAAGGGATACTATTATATTCAGTGTTAAAACTTCAACAAGCTCAGACACCGTTGCCCTGGCTATTGTGTGACCCAATCATTGACTATAACGAATCAGGCGCAATCTGGGCTTTCCCGTGAGCAAAATGGCGCCTATGTTAGTTCTAAACAATGGGGTAGTCTATGGATAAGATGGGGCCAACAAAGTAAAAGCTTGTAAAAAAAATCAAACGAATAATTATCCAAAATCTCAAATAAATCTATTAGATATTTTTGAAATCCCAGAAATCAAATGGAGAAACACTAAAAACTATTTAGTAATTACCTGGTTGTTAAAAATTTTAAGACTACAACTTGGTGGTATCTTACAAACAGTTGTTGGGTGAAAACCATGTGAATAGTTACAGTTGCGGCTCTGGACAAAAATGCTGCTGTCACTGAGACATTCTGCATACACCTCTCCTCCAACATAATACAAATGAACACCTAAAAAGAAGTGTTTATTATATGAACTGCCTGTTTTAACATTAATTTTTCAAGTAAAAAATTGATACAATTTTAGTATTTATTCATCAAGTTACAACCATAAACCACTAGCACAAATCTGGGTTCAAGTCAGTAGTACATCCCTGAGTCAACCCGATGGTACCTAACACATGTTAGGGAAAGTAAAGGTGGCTGGGTAAAGAGCTGACCACACCTTTATATCATATACTGAGGTTAAGAAACATGAACTCTACTTTGTCTGCCCTATGGATTACTAGCAAAAAAGGGGTGAAATCATAAAAATATTGTTCTAATAGAAATAGGTCTACATTTACAAATTTTATATATATATATATATATATATATATATATATATATATATATATATATATATATATATATATATATATAATTTTTTAACTAAAGCGGTGAAAGATCAAAATTACCTCTTCCTATATGACGCCGCGTATTTTCTATGGTAGAGTTTCGATTTACATTAGATAACAGACCCAAACAGAAGCGGTCAGTTCGTGAGGGATCTGTGAAACCATCTACTACAATGCTGTTGGATGAAGCTTGAAACTGTTCACCCACTCTGTTGTTGAGTTCATAATATACTATGTTGCACCAGTAGTGGGGTTCTTGGTAGTTTACAGCTTGTTTGTCTGAAAAAAATATTTCACTCATTAACTCCAGTACATCACAAAGAAAGCAAATAGATGATAACAGATATATAAAAAGCACATTTTCAAAATGCTTTTAGTCAAGATAATGGATTTTTAATAATATGCTTACTTCACAATGATTGGCCATTTTATTTTAAAAAAATTTAATCACAGAGTGGGGATATATTTAGTTTTAAAAAAAAAATGTGAATAGAATATTGGTCCAGATTTACTGCAGGAGGAGGCTGGTCTGTTTTAGAAAATATCAAAATAAACTCTTATACATTTGAAATATATATTTCAGCCTCACAAGTCAGTTTTTACAGCTACTCGCCTGTAATCCTGGGTCCCAGTTTAGACAACGGAAAAGCAGGGCCTGTAACGGGTGGGCCAGAGTGTGGAGGATTTGGTTGATGATTTGTGTCCATTGGCTGAGGTCCATTTTGATTATTTTGATTATCATCGTGGGCTTGATAAGCTGGAGGAGGGGTGTCAGCTGTTAAAAAAAAATTACATTTTTAACATTTATAAACCCTTACGAGTTATGTGACCCACTCCCACAGTGAGCTGAATGTAAACAAGTAAAAATTCCTTCAATTATATGCAACACAAAAATATACCTGGAAGACCAAAGGGACTGCCCGGTCCTGAACTTGGAGTCTGTGGTGAATGTTGCTGCTGAAAGGGGTAAGTGATATTGTGGGGCATGGAAGGTTCGGGTATCTGCTGGAATGGGGGCAATGCTCCATGTGTTGGGTATTCACTGTAACGTGGAACCAAAACAGGGGGAAGAACTGAAACAAATAGATTTTCTTTGCTAATAAAGCGTTTTAAAAAACATTAATGAATCAATCCTAAGAACTTAAATCACAATGTTGAATTAATACTAATGATGATTATAAACATGAATATATTTATAAAGATTAAAATGAATTTCACAAACCAGGACTCTCGACTCTTCTATAATGGTATGGGTTGATGCATACTTCTTTCTGTTTAGCACTGAAAGGATATTCACATGAGTCTAATGGTTTTAGCTCATGATGTGACTGCAGATCTGGCCACCTCCATACCCTGCAGTAAATGACATGAGGCAAACCCTTTCTGTGTGACACTTGCAATCTTCCATCTAGTGATCTTTGAATGGTAACACATTTTGTGTGAGGATCCTTACAAGAGAGGGCTTTTTCAAGATCCTCAAGTGCACCTAAGAAAGAAAAAATACACAAAAGCCTTTATGATGACATATTGAAAACATATTTTTTTTTAAATTCATTAAAGCAAATCTAGAAAATAGTAAAAAAAAAAAAATTAGTAATGCTGGGCAGCCCAAACCCAATTTTTTTTTCTGTAATGAAGGCACCATTTTTACCACAAGATTACCACAAGAAAAAAGGATATAAATTCTGATTTAAGCTGGTGATGATTTTGATTTTCACAGAATGTAAAAGTGTACCGCTTAGAGTTTAATCTCAATTGTAATTTGAAACTTGGGTGTCAAAATCGTTAAAATTTAGGGCAAAATCGTACAAGCGGGCAGCATGGCAATGTCAGAAATTATTTTGATAACAGAATGAAAGTTTTCTGATAAGTTTGGGTACTAATCACTTGGCTGGAACAAAAATTTGAAAACTCTTGATGAAAATATTGTACAGCATTTACTTTTAATGCTAATAATACAAGTATTTGTCACTGTGAGCATAACATTTTATTACATTATGTTATACCTTTGTTGCCTAGATGATTAAATACCTTTACAGTGTATATTCTTACCTACAAATAAAACAATGGTGATATCAAATCAATATACAATGAATTACAATGATTACCTTTCTTTTTCTTCAGTTTTTTAACAAGTGAATCCACAGCTTTTTCAGCCCACTTTTCTTCTTCATCCCCTTGCTTCCACCCCAGTAACCTTTTCACTGCTGGGCTGGTAAATGTAAATATACTGGAAAGTGGTGATGTCATTGCTGTAATAACGCTGCAATCTGAAAAATTAACATTATGTGAGTTTTTGTCATAATGTTAGATTGGTGAATAATATTAGCAAAGCAAAAGTTTTCTTTTCAAATACTTTAGCCAAGCATACAAAGCTTAGTTTACTTAAAATAATTATTCTCTATTTGCAATACTAGATGTGTACAAAGGATTACTAATATTGTGATATTTTTTTATAAATGTTGCACAATTAAATTACTTTTTTAATTCAATGTGAAGTGTTTTTTAAACACATCACAATGACAGGCTTCTGATGCTATTAGCACCCTCCTCAAACAGCCTGGGTGTCTTCACTCCCCCCCCCCCCCCACATGCATTACATAAAGTTGTGCTGAGTTTTAACATCCCTCCACATCCTCATTCATAAATGGGTGGGCTCCTTAATTTAAAAAGACACCATTTCGTAAGTTGTAAAATGTAGCACATAGCACAATAAATTATAATTATGTTAGAGATGTTCCTCTCTAATATTAAAAGAGCAAGATAAAAACGGGATAATACAAATATACTGACTAACAAATACTTTAAGAAATAAAATAGTTATTCAACATTTCTACAGACCGCATCCTGTATATTTATTATTTCTAGAAACCAATGTGCATTTATTTTTAAAATATTTTGTTATTAACATTTTATTGAACAAACAACTGCTTTAAGGCCGATGTTTATTATTAGTCACCTAATTACTTGTGCTTTGAAAGTAATACACATAAACAATGGAATTATACTTGTGAGTAGAATTTTCATCTAAATTTTAGAAGAATTTTGTTTAAATCCTAGAGTTTTACAACATTGCTATATAAATATATTTATATACAACTAGTGCTAGCAGAGGCACAAAAAATAAAGTGTATAACTTTAAGTAAAATGTAAATATAATGTTTGTGATGTTTTCATTTCTATCAGAATTTGTTCAACTGTTTGATTCCTTCTTGGAAACACTCAGGAGGTAGTCGACATTTCTACTAAAGATTTGTCTGCAATTCAAACCTATTAAAATATATTTTGAAGATGCTGATAATTAATTTAACAGAAAGTCAATGATTTTTCAAGATCAGGTGACTAGTAATTTTCTGAAATTGTATTTATACATGCTTGTCTTTTGTTACAAGTAGTTTTGATATTTATCTTTTTTATTATATTGTGTATTATCTACAATAAATCAGCTGGTTTAAAAGCCAATGTAAAATATGCAGAATTGAATAATTAGAATATGTTCACTACTGAGCTCAGTAGGACATATACGGTGAATAATTATCGGTATCAAGGAAGTCAGCTTGCTATAAAGTAGAATTTCCAAATAGAATACTTTGCCGCCAAACAGCAAAATCTATATAGATAAGTGAATTTATGTAAATCTTATATGCATTGCAGCAACATTTATCTAATTGCCATGAAACTTTTGGAAGTTGTTGGGCAGTACATTCTCATGAATTACGGGGTCATATGTCGCTAGACCTTTTGACGGGGTCGATTTGTCATCAACCGTTTTGACGCAGCACGGCCAAAAGCGCACCCTCCCTGGCACCGCCCACAAAAATTTATTTTTGGAGAAACCTTCTCTGAAGTATTTTCATCAAGTCCCCAAAGTTTCATGGCACTCTGATAAATGAATAGGCTATTGATCTGGATCAATAATAGACTCTTCCAAATATAGGTGTGATAGGTTGTTTGTAATAGTAGTAATCTCAACTAGACTAGTTTTATGGTTAGGCGTATGGTAGGACAAGGGTTAGTACTGACATTAGCAAGCCAAATTTGTATTTTAGTTAACTACCAGTAACCTAACAGGCTAACACTAACACCCCTTTTCTAAGAGACATATTATTGTGCAATGTGTACAAGTACAAACAATGATATAAAAATTCCACCCCCACCCCCCATAGTTTCATTTATAATTTATAGAAGATCTAGATTCTAGATTAGATGGTTTTAGTTAGTTAGCCTAAGTCTAGCTCTAGGAAAGTCTAGTTGAATCTTAAGAAGTACATCTGATCTAGCCCGGCAAATACTGGCAAAAGAATTGAGTACTAGACTCTAGATTCTAGATTCTACAACAATCTACTCACTACTGTTCTTCACCGCTGTGACTGAAGGCAGTTGGAGTGTACTGTGGTGTAGAGTGTAACTACTGACTTGACTCTACTTACTTACTACTCTGTCTGTACTTCACTTAGTGTTAGTACTAGATCTACTACTAGACTAGTCTAGCTAGAGTCTAGATTCTACTACCCTAGGCCCTAGTCTCTAGAATTGTGCTAGCACATTGACGGAACTCGGCAGCAGTTGCTACTCAGTTTTTTAACTTGGGTAAGATAGGTTACAAACATTTAATGTTTATTAATATAGGAAAAAACAAATGAAAAACCTGCGGCGAGAAACGTCTATTCCTATCCCAAAACGGTGCGAAACATTCACTCTGTCCTAAATCTCGATATCCAGTTAGCTCCTGGCCTAGCTTCTGGGATAAGGTAGGCCGAATGAGCGAAAAAAAAAAGCAGTAGACGTGGTCGACTTAATAACTTAGGGAATTGTGCCAAAGCAAGTGAAAATATCCTTTTGTTGGAATATATGTGGTAGCTTTCTGCAAAAACTTTTTCCTAAACGTAATAATTTAAATATATAAATTCAATGAAAAATATTAAGCATTATTGGTATGTTATTATTGGCGACAGAGAGACGGGAAGTAGAACTTCAGGGAGGAAAAAAAAGTTTACAACTTATATCACAACGCCAAATGAAAACAAACGAGTTACCCCCTTTCCGATAACTGTACAATTAATTACTACATTATAAATGAATACGTTCGTTTATAAATTTTAGTACATGGGGAAACATTTTAAAACTCATTATAAATCAATGAACGACTTTCAAACAAGATTGAACAGTGACCTTTTTGTTTCGAGCAAGATCATTTTCCTCTTGCTCAGTAAGCAGGCTCTCTGTAGCGCCCCTTGAGAGTGACGTCATCATTTTAGGCGACAATCAGTCGGGGGAAAAAAATAGGGTTGGGCAGAGGCGGTAGAAACGTCTTGATTTTGCCGGTCGAAACTTATGGAAACCGTCAACAAATTAAAGTGAGCACTTATTAATACTGATCCTTTTTGATGTTTTTTAAAAACGTATTGCTGTTATTATTCGACACTTTAAAGTAAAACAAGACATATATTTTCAAGTATTCATTTATTAAAACCTTTTTAAATGGACTAAAATTTAATAATGAATAAATTTTCTTAATAGATCTAGAATCTAGATCTGATTATCATTATAATTTATTATGATTGATTTATTTATTAGAGATCTAGATCTAGTTGATCTAAAAGCGTTGGTCGCTAAAAAGTGCTGAAGTTTCACAAGCCTTTATCTTTCAAGAGATCTTTTAAATACATTTTGCGGCTAACGATTTTTTTTTCCTGCAGTGATAGATCTAGGCTATAGCCAAAGAAACTTTTTCTTTAAGTGCACGTTAGTTAAACTTGTTATTATAAAAATATGGTGTAGAAAATATAGACATCTGGGCCTAAGAGAAAGTTTTTATTTTTAAATTAGCATTATATTTATTATTTCCAAGTCTCTGTACTGTATACACCATCGACTCGTTTAGTTTATTATCTGCCCCTTAATAACTTGGCTCGTCGAAAAGATTTGTAAACATTCAACGAGAACACCAGCTCATCTGACTGATCGATTGGCGATATCGCCCCAGAGATTGAAACCACTGTTTCTTTCTGAATGTAGCAGGAGGTGCATTCGAAACTGTTGGATGGTGGGGGAGGGGGAAATATCATTTAGTTGTTCCAAAGGAATATCGGAGATTCGTGCTCAAGGGGGGAGGGGGATTTATATGTAACTACACTGTTTATTCACATAGCCACGAAAAATGACTTTAGTTTGAGGAAAAAACTCAGTGGGAAAGTGCTATTTGCTGGAGATTATAAAATAAATAATGGGGGGGGGGGGTCAATGCTAATGGAACCCAGTGAAGTGAGTCCCTTGCGCCAAAGCGGACCTACACTAACTGTTGATACAGGGTGTTTGCCGGCTTAATCGTATGGAGGTATTTGTCAATACCACCGTTAGGATTGTTAATGTTTGGGTTGGGTTGTTGGCATAAGATTTATTGGATTTCTGTGTTAGCGAATCTATAGGTCCCAAAAAAGAAACAATTAACAAACATGTGATTCAAAGATAGGCCTCGCCGCGCTTGTCCTTTGACGTATCGTTGTTGGTGGGACCACAACAAAATATCCTGTCCATGGTTCCAACCGTTCACCCGTTCTCAGAGTTTACGGGTAATCTGAGTCTGCTGGTATTTGATAATCCGCGACTTGCTAGCCACCTCACTCAGTAATCAATAAAAATAGATTGTCAGTGGCATATTAACCACTGCACGGACAGTAAGACGAAAACAACAGAGCCCATACCCCTCACACGATTCCAAAGTGATGCTGCACCTTACATACACCTGTCACATAAATGCATTATAACAAAGCACGTTAAAACACTAAAGAAATGACATTTTTTTCCGTTTAAACCAGTAGCGTTACAAGGCGGAGAGAGGGAGGGGTTACTGTCCGCACCAGGTGACACCAATACGAAAAAAATAACGCTTTGCCTAGTTATAAATAATAAAATAGAAGAAGAGGGGTGACTCCAAACTAGTCCAAACCGAAAAGTCGAAATCTAGATCTTCTCAAATCTCGACGTTTTATACCTCCCTGAGTCGGAAAAACGTAGTTTTGCAATTTTGTTGGTATGCCGAGTTTTCTCGGGGGGGGGGGGGGTAACTTTTTTCGGGGGGGGGGGGGGATGCCCGAATAAATGCATGGAAGAACCAGAAGTGAAACTTATTCTTTCCTGTACGTTGGGAACTGTTTCTGATCGATAGACGAAATTTCACATATATAAAATATCTAATTCTCTGTTTACTATCAAATTTTGAGTAAATTCCGGTGACCGGAAGTAGTACTTTCCGATTTAAAAAAAAGTATATGAATTTATAAAGTACTAATGTTCCACACTACTATACACACATTGTTTGCTGTTCACTTGGTGCGCAGTTCTTTTTTCTACGAGATTCTATTCTATTTTAAAAAGTTTAAGTGTTTAAAAACTGATTAAAAGGCATGTCTGTATCCCGAGTTGCCATCCCCGTAGTGTTATACAAGAAAGTTTAAGGGAGATCACTGATGCATTTTAAGTCCGTAGACTTGTACATAGGTCTAAGTCTAAATGTTAGAGTGTAAGCCTATATAAACTATTTTATGAAATTATGGAATTGGGAAGTTTAAGAATTACGACTAGATCTATGAATAGATCGACAATATTCCACCTCTATTGGGGCTTATATATTTTAATTTTAATCAAAGGTACTAAATCTACGCTATAAATAAAAAGATTTGCTGCACTTGTGATAGGAGTAGCGTAAGACATTAAATAACTCTTTGCTATCGGCCTACGTAGGTCGCAGGTTAATTATATATTGCTACAAGTAGGCTACCTTTCTCGGGGGTTGTAAATTCTCTGAGTTATCAAATAATCGTTACTCCGGTCTGTCGAGAGAGTCTATAGATTTTGTTCGGTAAAAGATAAGAGGATTAGTCCTACTCCCATTTTGCAATAAAAGCTATGTAGCTTGTAAAATGAAGTAAATTAATACGTCGAGGTCTTTTCAAGTATTTACAACGTGGTAGGCCTGGGTCTCGGACATTTCCCCCTAAGAGCTGCGTGGAAGAAATTCTGCACGGAGTTCCTGTACAGCCAATCAATGTTTGTCTTAAGAAAGTAAAACCTCAGGCTTAATGAAAATAAATAGAAATGTTGCCTTAAACGGTTCAAACGCAAAATATTATTTTCAAGTAATCTGGATTTGCAACTTTTATAACATTGATTCTATTTTTTTTAAAATTATGGTCACTTAGAGATGTATTGAGAAGTGACCAAAAACATAACGTCACCTTTTATATCCTCAAAATATTATTATAAGGATAGGGTACATTGTTAGGACAAATTTAGTTTTTAAAAAGTTTTTAAAAAATCGATTTGGCTTTTCCGTGATTACAATAATGCGTGGCTTGTGGCCAGAGCCGGCGTTAGGAATACGCGGGGCCTAGGGCCAACCATCTGCGCGGGGCCTTTCCATTATATATATATATATATATATATATATATATATATATATATATATATATATATATATATATATATGTGTGTGTATAAAGGCCTATATAATGTGATGTACACATAATAACACAAATGTTTTGGAGTTTATAAGCTAATGTCAAACTTTCCACTATAATAACAGATTTTTATCTCTCCCATGTATTAACCCAATGTTCGTAGTTTTTTTTTCCTTTGCTAAGATATTAAATCACTTTTAACAGTTATTGTAATATAGTGAGACTTGTGAAGTCAAGGGAACTCACTCTTCTTGTATTAGTATTATATTTATACTGTTATCTTGAGTGATGTCCCTTATATGTAAATATATCTTTGTGTCTCGTCACTTCCGCTCTCTCTCGTTACCATCATGTAGTTGGAGGCCAATAAACGTTTTATATACAATCACATGCTTCTATCGTCAATCTATTACAGTTATGTAATTCATACCAAATCACTTAAGAAAATTTAAGTCTACCGCCCCCCCCCCCCCCCCCCCCCCGAAAATTTAAAGTGCCCCTCCCCCCCCGGAGAAAAAAAGTCTGGAAGAAACACTGTACATATACGACATGATACGACATCTACAACAATTAAGTCAGGACTAGAGTTCATCAGGTCACTAACTGTCTACTATAGACATCCCATCTGCTCACTAAAAGGACGTCTTCATGGGTCCGCATACAATAGGGTATCTCTTTACGTCGTGGGCTAATTCTCGACCGCCGTCTCCAGTCAGCTCAGGTCAAATGCCAGGCGACCGTACCCTACACAAAGGGGAGGTGTGGCACTATTTTTGTATCGAATTACGGCCTGTCCCAGTTCAGGTGGGACTCACAAACATCGACCGTGGCCTCAGTTATGGTTAGGGGTTGGGCTAAGGTTAGGGTTTAAAAGTAAAAGTTTGGGAGGCGGGGGTTAACTTTTTGACGGGGCTTATCTGAACAAGATCCACCACAGGAAAGAGATTAAACAGAAGAAGAACCAATGCCATAATGTCATATGGTATTCCACCAGAGACATTGAAAGCAGACCCAGATATATCTGCAGATGTTCCACAATCTTTACTACAGTAGAGAAGAGATGAATGGAAACAATGCTACGTTGTAAAGCTGCCCAACAAAGGAGACCTGTCACAACGCAACAACTGGAGAGGGCTAATATTCGTCTGTCTCAAGTCAGTTACTGACAAGAAGGGAGCGGCCTTGGACAAAACAACAAGAACTGGCTGGTTTTCGACAAGACAGGCATTGCTACGCCATGCACACGCATTATTAGTGAAAAGTCCTTAAAGAACTTCCCATATACATGACATGAATAGAGTTTGATAATTTGAATATAGATACTATTTGAAGTAAATGAGACATTAAAGTCAGTATTGTAGATTCCCAAAATGTAAACGCATCACACAAGAACCATGAGGTATTACGTACAGCTGTCATGGAGCCCACAAAGGAAAATTTATAAATCCTTGCACAGCGAAGACAGGAGTAAGGCAGGAACGCACAATTTCAACAATGACTACAAACAACGACAAAGAAATTT